ATTAGCGGTTTAGGAGATATGCACATTAAACCTATTAGAGGCGGGACCACGCCCACTTTTTAACTGCAGATACCCCTCCCTAATATGATCCTGTGTACCAAATAACAGTCCTGTATCTTATTGCGGAGCTTAGTTATGGCAATTTATTTGTTTTTGATTAATGGCGTTTTTCGGGCGTGGCAGTATTCCGATTACGCCCATCTGCAATACCAACCGTCTCACGGTACCAAGAAACATGTCTACCAAGTTTCATAAAGATATCTCAATTTTTACTCAAGTTACAGCTTGCACGGACGGACGGACAGACAGTCACCCGGATTTCAACTCGTCTCTTCATCCTGATTATTTATATAGGTATAAATAACCCTATATCAAACTCAATTAGTTTTAGGTGATACAAACAACCGTTAGGTGAACAAAACTATTATACTCTGTAGCGAGAGTATAAAAACAAGAAAAAACGTTAACTTCGGTTGCGCCGAAGCTATAATACCCTTCACAAATACAAAGACCCCTTACAAGAACTTGATTCCGAACATTCAATTTGTATGGCAGCTACATGATATAGTGATCTGATCTGACAAATTTCTGTGGAAATCGTGCCTAATTTCGTGACGATACCTAGTCAAATAAAAAAATTTTCCATACAAGCACTTGATTCCGATTGTTCAGTTTGTATGACAGCTATATGCTATAGTGGTCCGATATCGGCCGTTCCGACAAATGAGCAGCTTCTTTGTTAGAAAAGGACAGGTGCAAAATTTCAGATCGATAGCATAAAAACTGAGGGACTAGTTTGTATATATACAGACAGACGGACAGACAGACAGACGGACATGGCTAAATCAACTCAGCTGATCATTTATGTATACATTTTATAGGGTCTCCGACGTTTCCTTCTGAGTGTTACAAACTTCGTGGCAAACTTAATATACCCTGTTCAGGGTATAAAAATAAGTTGTTAAATGTTGTCTACATATCGGCACGCCTTTTAAAAATCGCGTTGAATAAGTCAAAATTAATTTATATATTTCATAAGGGCAAAACAGCAACTTTGATTTGGCCACAACGGTTTTTAAAATTTGTTACATTTAGTTTTTTACTATTTTTAATGCTATGCTTATATGCTTATGTTATGAAAACTCAATTTTACTCGAGAATTTTTAGCTAGCAATAATACATATATGCTTAAATAACTTTCGAAATAATATGTTTCTCACTTAGTAGCTGAAAAAATATCAGAATTTGCTCCATACTCTTAACACATTTCTGCGCCTGTGTAAATGATCGCTTCTCATATAGAGCTTGCAACATTTCCCTCCACACATATCCACAATAACAGTGTGGGTCGAGAAATTCAATATATATTTTGTAAGCAAACCAAAGTAAAGACAACAGTCAGAACAATAAAATATGTTTTTATGCTTAAATTTAGTTTTGAGTGATACTCGTATATGATTGCACAGTCACTACAAGAAGTGTTCATTATATTTTATAAATAAGTTTTCTTCTTTTATATATGTACCCGCGTATGCACGCATACTTCAAATCTTCTATCTGTGCTCAGCAAACAAACAATAAACTATTGAGATTGACGTGATCCGATAAGTGGTCGTGAAACACTTGAGAATCCAGTTCGGCATTCTTCAGCGAAATGAAGAAGTCATTGACGTTTCTTCGCTTTAATGAGTGCCAACTATTCATAATTACATGCCGAACAACAAAAACAGCAGCAAAGTGTAGAAATTTGTGTCAAACAAATTATTGTTTCGCTTTTATTTTACAACATTTACAACAAATTAAAATATGAAATGTGTTGTCTGTGGCAATCCAGCTTTGTTGATTTAATTTGTGAGTTTTTTTTTATTTGAAATTTACATTTTGTTTTTGTACAAGTAATTTTAGAGTTTTCACCTTTTTATGGTTTTTATTTCGTTAACATTTCACTTTCGCTCTTTTGCTTTTGTTGCATGTTTTTTACACTTTTACATACTTGCATATGTATATACAAACATTTTTCGCTTAGAAAAGTTTTTTAGCCAAACAAAAGTGATTAAAATTGACTTGGCATTTACTTGTATATTCTTTGAGATCTGAAGCCCGAGGCATCTTATGAATATTCTAATTATCTTGCTGTCTATGATTGAAGTGTTTTTTTTTAATTAAAGCTATATGAAATGTGCGAAAATTATCAATTTAGCCGTTTAATCAGAGAGAAAAGAGATGTTCAATCAAAATAAATCAGACACGTAATGTAGAGGGAGAGGAATTGATATTTCAGTTCCTATTTCCAATATAACTTCGTGCAGTTTATGTTATAAGACAGTCATCTAATTTCGGCAGTCTCACCTCTTAGTGGACAGCTTTCTCTTACTTCAAGCCGTGACCCAAGGCTTCACATGTTTAGATTATGGCTATTCGAACTATGAATTAAGATACAGAAGGCTCCGACGGCTCCTGAATGTTTTTAGAATGTTTCTGCGACTTTTGCTCGGACAAAGGTGGACATCGCATAAGATAAAACAATAAACTACCGCTATAGAAGAGTCATGTCGTCCGATTGAATGCAGACTCTCCTTGGTTGATTCTTTTCTTGCTTCAAATGTTGCCAAGATAATAAAAAAAATGAAAGTCTGGAATCACCTCTAAGGAGATTCGACAAAAAATTACTACTATAGATTAAATCAATATAAGATTTCTAAGTTTAATAAGTCTTTAGCTAAATCAAGATAAGATTTCTAAGTTTAATAAGGCTTTAGCTAACTCGATATGTTTCGCTAACTCCCAAAATCTACGTGCATAAATTTTAATATTGAACGATTGGTTCGCGAGATAAATACTTGTAGTTATAAGTGACGCAAATTAGGTTTTTTTTTGTTCTCAGAACTTAAAAACTTAGTGCTGGTAAAAAAAAATTTAGAGGCCATGGAGAGGTCATCGCTTTGACTGAAGCCGAATTTAAAGCAAATAGCTCTTCTACTACAAAAAATAATATCGAAAAGTTTTAAGTTGGCTATAATCGGTGTGTTGCCTTTGATAAAAACTATAAGACACAATAAAATCGAGTTTTAATAAAAAGAAAGGTAATAAACTTTGTCGGCTACTGGCTATACCAAAGGCTAATCCAAGCATCAGATAATATTATAAAGAGGGAGTGGTATGGTAACGAACGTATAGGTAAACTTCATAGAGAAGCTTCAATATGCTCATTCCAGGAAATTACGTTGTTTTAATGATTCATCATAAGTCACATTAATTATATGTTAGGCCAAAAATCAAAGATATGTGAGACAGAAAATATGCCACCCTCGTATTACTACATGCCTCGACTACAAATTGTTTATAAAAGGTATAAATAAAGTAGAATATTAGTTCATTACACAAATAAGTTTGACTACACATTACTAATTCCGACCATAGTCTATTCTACATATCGCAACTCTATTGAATGTAGTCTAGGCATCTGAAAAGCATAAAATGTACTTAATAGTTAAACCTCTGTAATATTTGTATTTATTTATAGCTTTATGTCTTTGCCTTGATGATCGATCTTCTATAGCACCCTACGTGTGTGTAAGTACTCTTTAACGACGCGTTTATGAGCGATGAAGTGATTAGAATTATGTGTTGTTATTTTTCAAAATTGGGAAGCCTTCAAGAGGATTTTGAAACAAAAACTATAATTATTTTTTCGTGCTGGGTAGACAAGTAAAGTAAAGGGTTTTCAATTGCGTGAGCTTGGTGGGTATACTGTATCTTCAATCAAGTTGGAGAAAATTACTGTTTCATTACTCTAAAACCGTTATCCCAAAAAATAACATTGGAAAATATGGTTCTTTCACCAATTTAGAAATTATTTTATAAAAACGTAACAAGTTGTTTCTCTATTTTGCCCGTGTGTGGCACTTATGATCCGTACTTATTGTAAAAACAGATTAATGAGACATAATCGTTAAAAGCCAAAACACCAAAGAACGACAAATCCCGATTTTTCTGTATAACTGATGCTTTCTGCGTTGGAAACTGAGAGGATCCGCAAATATTTGCAGTACGGTTATTCTCAGCCGAAATACAGTGAGTTTTTAAATAAAAACTTGCACTTAAACCCCACTATCCATTATCTCAGACGTTTCAGCATCAGTTGTCTACTTCAGGTCGATATAATTTAAATTATGGTTCGAAAGCTCGTATGAAAGTTATTTTGGAAATGAAAAACATATGTTGGTCGATAAGGTGTCGTCTTAAAAAGTGTAGGACCATTCCGTTGTAAGTAAGTCGTGGGGAAATTACAGCCCTAATCGACTTGTTATGTCAAACATTCTGACAGTTCTACGAGTTTAAAAAATCGATGCCGATCGACTATCGACTGAGATTGAAAACAAGTCCAACGGAGTGGAGGAGTCATCAAAACAGACGTCGTAAAATCTTCTATAACTCTCAAGATTTCGGCCAAAAATCTGTCGACTTTCATCTACTATCGACTAGGATCAAAAAAAGGTCCAACGTAGTGGAGAAGTTATCACAACAAGCGTTTTAAAACCTACTATATCTCTCACAAGTTCGTTTAAGAACATATCCTCTTACATCTACTATCGACTGGGATCGAAAAGAGGTTCAGAGGAGTCGAGGGGTCATCACAACAGATGTCTTAAAGACGTCTGTATCTCTTAAAAGTTCGGCCAAAAAACTGTTCTCTTTCATCTACAGCTCGCCCTGATTGTGTGGCCCTTTGATACGGTTCTTTTAAACTATATGATTTCTTCTAGTCTTTGTGAGTGAATGACTAATGCAAGTGAGCAAGCATAGCTGTATGTTGCAGCGTAGTGCTCCAATACTTTTATACATGCTCGAGGCACATTCAATTGAAATGAGTCTTCACTAAAAAAAAAAGATCAATTGCAAAAGGAGCAATAAATGAACGTGTGAACTCATTTAAAAATAGCCGCAACACTAACATATAAACAAACTCGTTCCAATGTCGCTCTTTGTTTGCATTGCAGTTGCCGTTGCAACGTCGGTGGATATGGAAGATTAGACCGAATTGTGCAGCTAACGCTCAAGACGCGTGCTTGTACGTTTGCCTCTATCTCTATTTTTTATTGTTTCTTCAACGAAATACGACTGAAATTGTTAGAAGCGCGTAAAAATGTTTTCATCAGCGGCCTCGGCACACACGCATCGTGGCAATAAGCGAGAGGCCAAATTGAATGCTACAACCGATTTGGATGATGACGAAGACGACAACAGCATCATTGATGACACCGATGTGGATGTAGCCGTCGACGTGGACGTCAACGAGGTGCCCACACAAAAGCCACATTTTCTAGACGATGCCATGCCGCCACCCGAAATGGTTGCTGACTTCGAACGCGTGCTAAGTTTTGGCGCAAAAATCGATGGCACACATGCGACAGCCGCACCTAGCAGCGGTGAGCAATTGAAAATGGATAAAAAGTATGAGCGCGACGGTGAAATTAGTGACTATGAGTTGGCCGCAAGTGGCTATACAAAGAAAGAGTTCACACAGGACGATAACACGTTGAATCTGCCAAGTGGCATTGGCAAGAGCACATTTTCGAAACCAAAGCATTTTCTCGATGAGAATCCCATACCACCAGACTACATGTTGCTGGCGACCGCTGCCGACCATGACTTGCGCCGCGAGCACCGCAGTCTAGACCGGAATTTTGAGCGGCAAGAGGAACAAGAGTCCGCACTCATTGCCGGTCAATTGATGAAGAGCAGCAGCAGTAGTGGCGGTGGTGGCCGCAAGAGTTCACTGGATCGCGGCGGTTATGGCGGCGGCGGAGGTCACAGTAATGGCAGTCACAGCGGCAGCATGTCGAGTTCGCGCACTTCACGTGAGCGCAACAAGGAGCTTACTTCCTCGTACACATTGTCACGTTTTCTACACAGCGCCGAAACACCGTCGCCACCACCGGCGCTGCAGCGCAGCATACCGAAAGGCGGGGCTTGGGCGAGCAGCAGTGGCAGCGGCAGTTGCAGCTTTGACAGACTTTATGGCAGCTTGCCAATGGCAAATGCCAGTGGCGGCGGCACAAGTGGTATTGGCGACAGCAGCTGCGCGCTAGGGGTCGATGACATTGTCGATGTCGACCGGCTGGGTCCGAAGGTGGAGTGTGTATACTCGCTGCTTTCGATGTTGGGCTCCAATGACCCGTCGGAGATGTCAAAGAAGTTTCTTGAATTGTCGCGCACACCAGAAACTTGCAGTGCGCTGCGACGTGCCGGCTGTGTACCGCTTCTAGTGCAAATGATGCACTCCGATGGCGATGATAGTGTGCGAAAGTGCGCCAGCATGGCGCTACACAACGTTGTGCACAGTCATATGGACGAGAAGACTGCAAGACGTGAGGCGAAAGTGTTGCGTTTGCTCGAACAGATATTGGATTATTGTAATTTCTTGAAGACGCTGCTGCAGAGCGGTGGCGAAGCGATTGCCGATGACTCCGAACGGCATCCGCTGGCGGCGATATCATCATTGATGAAGGTGAGCTTCGACGAGGAGCATCGTCATGCTATGTGCGAGTTGGGTGCACTGCAGGCAATACCGAATTTAGTACATTTGGATCACGCTGTGCACGGACCAAAACCGGAGGATCAGTGTTGCAATTCCTTGCGACGTTACGCACTGATGGCGCTTACAAATCTCACATTCGGTGATGAACATAACAAGGCCTACTTGTGCAGTCAGAAAATATTCATGGAGGCTTTGGTGGCACAACTAGACTCGGCACCGGACGATTTGCTGCAGGTAACTGCCAGCGTATTGCGTAATCTGTCTTGGCGCGCCGATAGCAATATGAAAGCGGTGCTAAATGAGATTGGCACGGTGACGGCATTGGCGCGCGCCGCTATGAAAAATAAAAGTGAGAACACACTCAAGGCGATATTGTCGGCGTTATGGAATCTGTCTGCGCATTGCAGCACCAATAAAGCGGAGTTCTGTGCGGTAGATGGCGCACTCGCCTTTCTCGTCGACATGCTCACCTATGAGGGACCTAGTAAAACATTGAAGATTATCGAAAATGCCGGTGGCATACTACGTAACGTCTCTAGTCACATCGCAGTGCGCGAACACTATCGACAAATACTACGCGAGCGCAATTGTCTCTCGATACTGCTACAGCAGCTGAAATCCGAGAGCTTAACGGTGGTGAGCAACTCTTGCGGCACACTGTGGAATCTATCGGCGCGCTGCCCGGAGGATCAGAAATTTCTTTGGGATAACGGTGCAGTTCCGATGCTCCGTTCGCTTATACACTCCAAGCACGCCATGATCTCAGAAGGCAGCGCCTCGGCGCTCAAGAATTTACTCAATTTCCGACCGGCAGTGCAGAGTCAAAATCAGCTAGATCCAATCGCTCGTTCGATGGGTCTCCGCAAGCTTCCGACGTTGAACGCGCGCAAACAAAAAGCGTTGCAACAAGAGCTCGGCGGCAAACAGCATGCTGAGACCTGTGACAATTTGGACATCAGTGGAAATGGTGGCATAGCAAAAGAAAGTGGTCAACTGCTACAACACACCACTTTAAATGTCGTAATGCAGGCTCATCGTCAACGTTATGCCGCCGCAGCGGGTAGTGCTGTACCGCCCGGCACTTCGGTGCGACTCACACGCTCCGCCATGTTAACCAAAAGTGAAAGTCGTGACTCAGTTTTCTCTGCGAAATCAGATACTGCTTACGAGAATTTAATGCGCTCCCATTCGGCCTCAGACGCCAATCGGAAAAAGCTTCCATACACCGCAGCTGCGGCAGTGGCAGTTTACTCACTGGAAAATGATGCAGAGCCCACAGATGTGGAACAGCCAATCGATTACTCGGCCAAATATTGCGAAAAAGATGCAAAAACGCCGAACGAACGCACAACAGAGTCGCCAGCGGGCTGCAGTAACAACAACAATGTCACATATCAGGAAACTGACTTGGATCAGCCGACAGACTTCAGCTTACGCTATGCCGAGCATCAAATTGAAACAGAATTGGAGGTGTTACCCTCTGAACGGGCGAGCCGCAGCAGCAATGTTGCTAAAAGAAGTGGAGCTGCCGCAGACGACACGGCAGCACCGACTCGCGCACAGACAGCAGTGAATGATGGCAGCGAAATACTGCTTATACTTGAGGATACCGTTAAATGTTACCAAACGGAGGATACACCTTACGTCATATCCAATGCAGCTTCAGTTACGGACTTACGTCAAGCGGTCGTCAAATCTGAAAGCACCGGAACAGCAGAGACTGCAAAACCCGCAGAGAAGCCGAAGAAATACCAAAGAGTACAACAGATGCACAACAATGCCGGCGTACATGGCAACGCCGCATATGGCTCGGGCTCCTACACACCCGAAAAGCCGATCAACTATTGCGAAGAGGGCACGCCCGGGTATTTCAGCCGTTACGAGTCGCTCAGCAGCCTGGATGAATCGCCGCCAACACAACAAACGCAGAGCAAAGAGGCGAAAGTTACACAAACTAAAATCGCCAGCAACAACTCAGCCAAGAAAAGTAGCAGTGAGCTCGATGCTGATTTAAATGCTCACACACCTTTGACGCATGTCGATGTGCCTGTGGTGCAAAGTAGTGGCAATGCCACCACAATGAATTCGGCGCAAGAGACGCCGCTAATGTTTTCGCGTCACAGCTCAATGGATTCGCTGGTGGGGGAAGGTGAAGATGAGATTGGTGTTTGCGATGACAAGAGTTCGGTGGTTAGTGACTTCAGCCGTCTGGCCAGCGGCGTCATTTCACCATCGGAAATTCCTGACTCACCTACACAGAGCATGCCCCAATCGCCACGACGTCACAGCAACGCCGGACAAGTGAACAACAGCGGTGGGAGTGGCATGGGTGTCTTTCTACAGGGTGTTTCGCCGAGGGCTGCGCCACGTGGCTCCGCTGTGGGCATTGCTAGCGCTGGTGCTGGCATTGGGCTGCGCGGTAATGCTGCTGTGGGCGAGGAAATTAAACGACCGCTACGTAGCGTCTTCGAAGATGATCTGAGTACTTTCAATGTTGAGAATACGCCGGCGCAATTCTCATGCCGCACCAGCCTGAGCAACCTGAGTATACTGGATGATGAAAACAGCCTACCACCATCGAGACAACCCATTGAGGTCGAAAACCACACACAGCCCGCTATCGTATCCGAAGGTTTGTTCAAGTTGATTAAAATATCTCGTATTAGAACGCATATAACTTTCATATATTATTTACCACAGGTGAGGAAGAGGAGTCGACCAACAACATTGACGACATTCTGCTCGCTAATTGCATTAATATGGGCATGAATCGCACAACCATAACAGCTGCCGCTTCTAAGAAATCAATAGCACGTGCAGCACGCAGTCAAGCCGGTGCAGACACACAGTTACCCGCCGATGAGCCGAAACATTACTATACCGAAGATACACCAGCGTTGCTCTCGAAGGTTGGGAGCAATACAAATTTATCAGCTATATCCATCTGTTCCAGCAATAATATGGATGAATTGAAAGTACTGCAAGCGCCGCCCACAACTAGCGGTATAGCAGATAACCGGCACTCACTTACTTTGTCCGATGACGTGTCATCAAATGCCTCGGAGAGTGGTACGACGGGTCAATCATTCGATTTGTTGCAGCAATGCATTGAAGTCGGTATGAAAAAACCGAATACACAAACGAAGACACACTCAAATCACACCACTGCAACGCAACAGCGACCGATGCATCCAGCACCGACGGCCGATCCTATAGCCATGTTTAGACGTGGTGGCAACGTATTGCCGCCATATTTGTCAGTCTCCGATGAAATGAGTAAATATTTGGTGGAGGACTCACCTTGCAATTTCTCTGTGGCCTCGGGTCTGTCGAATCTGACTGTGGGCTCCAGTTTAGTCGGACCCGCTGTGACGCTAAAGAGCAGCAAAGCGAGGTGAGTTAGTAATGTTGCATAATAATTAAGTTTTTTCCGCAACAACAACAACCCAACTGTCGCAGGTATAGTCCGAATTTAGTCTTCCTTTACTAAATGTTTAATATTTCAAGCATTGTTGCGCATAATACATTTCCTTAGATTATCAAAAAAGGCTTTCATAATTTTCCGATTCTTTAACTCCAGCGCTGAAAACTCTCCGAACATGCCTGCGACTGCAGAGGCTCCGCCGGCAACATCTGTGGCGCCAGACGCGGGTGCGCGCATGGAACAAAAATGGCAGGACGATTCGCTTAGTTCGCTGTCCATCGACTCTGAAGACGATACGAACTTGTTAAGTCAGGTGAGCAATGAATTAAATGCATATCCAGTTTAGCCAAAATTATAATAAAACTTTGAATGCTATTTTCTTACTTTTGCTCCCCGTCACAGGCTATTGCCGCTGGTTGCAATAGACCCAAATCGAATCTTGGTTTTAGTAGCACATCGTCTACCAACAACAATAACAACAACAATCGCAACAAGCGCATATCACTATCCGCTTCACAGCCCATACCCATCAATGCGGCCACCTCGTCATCCTCTTTAAATTCGAGTGCCACAGCACGACACTACCAACGACAGCAACAAAAGCACACAACCGACCGCAGTGCCGGTCACACTTCCAGCACAACACACCGTTATCAAAATGGCAATGACTCGTACAGTTCGGTGGATTCAAGCGACTCCAATGATAACCAAGCCAAATCACTCTTTGAGCTGTGCATACGCACCGGAATGCATAAGCCTACACGTGAAGTTGGCAACCATCGCCGTCAGCATCTAATGAATAATCGACGCGGTGGCAGCAGCACCACGCAATCGAATCCAAATTTGAAACAATTCGATTCGTTACCGCTGCAATTGCATCCGCAAACGAAAGCAACGCCATTGCCGACCAATACGTCCACAGCATTACCGGCCACAACCACAACGGTTAATCGTCATTTACGCGAACGCGAACGCAAAGACGAAAAATTACTGCTGGAATGCATCAACACCGGCATTTCGAAGAAGATCGGCAGCAACGCTGGCAGTGGTGCCGGCAACGCCAGTCTGGGAGTTAGTGCTGCTGCTGCTGTGTCTGCTGGCAGATACGCTGTCGACAATAGCGCACATACAATGTCTATGCCAATATTTAATACGGGCGATGGCAGTCACAGCACTGGGACCGGGTCAAAAAACGTGCTGGCTACGTCTGCAGCTGCACGGGCGCTGTGTCACCCACACGCGGCTACTTTATCCTCAAATGTGCACAGCACAGCAGCTCCAGACGTAACAAAGACGAACTACACCGGCTACAACAGCAACTGCACCACCATCAGCAACAACACCAACAGCAACAACGACATCAACAACACGTGCAGCAGCGTGATTTGTTGGGAAGTGAGGGACACCAACAGCGTCGACATCATAGACGCAGTAAAAAATCCAGCGATGGCCACCACCATCACAGCACTCAACGACGTAAATCTTCCAAATCACGCGAACGCAAGAACCGAACAGATAACGAACAATACTGGGTATAAGCAAGAGCATGAGCTGGAACCAGACGAATTAAATAGTCCATCTACTTCGCTGGACAACACTACGACCAGCGACGATTCGAATGAGTCGTTCATTATAGAAACCACAGTCTCGTTGGAGATGCGTCAATCGCGTACCTCACCGCCACTTACCACATCGCAAAAACACAAGGATCCCGATTTAATGTTAAAGTCCGTGGAGCGGCTAACGTTAGAGTTCGTCTCTTCAGCCGAACAACTACGCACCAACGCCACCAATGTGGCTGCGGAATGCAATGCCGTTGAACAACAGCGTGCGACATCTGTTGGCACGAGTTTATCCATAGGCGGCAACTCGAACTCCAACAACACGTGGAACGAGGACACTTGTCCCAATGATGATGTCTCGTTTCCCAGTGTCAGCGTCTCAGCGCCTGTTGTTGCTTCATTATATTATGACGATGAAGACGATGATGATGACGCAGATCAGGCAACCGAGGCGGACCACAAGGATTTGCATGATTTTGCCGAAATTACACCAATCAATGAGGAACAACCGCAACCGTCGCTGTTGTTGCTTGAGCGCGCTGAAACCGCTACACAACCCAGTTCATTGGAAACGGAAACCGAAACCGACACTTTAGTGAATGACGGTCGCAGCCTAGATATACCATGCTATAATGCAACGCAAGAGTCGACCGCCAGTAGCGGCATAAACTTCCAGCTAGGCGGTGCTGTACAATCAGCTGCGCTTTCTCTAGGTGGCCATCATATGTTGTATGGCAGTAACAGCAATGCGGCTGCCGCAGCAGCACAAGCCGCCGCCGCTGCTGCTGCTGCAATGACAAACTCCACTATCATTGCCATTGAAGCGCGCGCCTTAGCTGAAAATCTACAGCATGGCGGCAGTGTAAGTGCAGACGATGATGAAAGCATCGATTTGACATTTAGCATCAACAGTTTGGATTTGGAGAACATACGTCCACCTTCGGGTATGGAGTCGCTCAACATGTCTGGCTACTACCAGCAGGAGTCACAGTCTAATACATACCATTCGCTTGGTGTGTTGCAACGTCGTAGCGGTAGCACGCCGCAGAGTCCACAAATGATGTTGCGCTCACCGAAGTTTCCACGTAAGTCACTACCGCATGGTTTGGTGGCGAAACGCGCACTGGGCCAGCTGCCCGCACACCTTAGCGGCAGCGCGGAAAGCGTAAATTCCAGTTGTAATATGTTGGAGAACATCAAGCCGCCATCGCTAATGGACGAACTGTTGGATTCCATGATAAGTGTGGCAAGCATACAATCGGAGGTGGCAGACGGCGAATGCAGCTTGGCTACTACTCTATCGGCTGCCTCGAACTATGAGACAGCGGCGGGTGGACAAATGGAGTGTGCGGACTATGATGATAATACCGTTACGCTGCAAAGTTGCTGCGAAACCATACCACACGATATGGATGCAGAAGAAAATTCTTTCCATAGTGGCGCCGGCAGTACACCACTGCCAACAGATGATTATGAATTCAGTTCTGCCGAGTCGACGCCACAAAAGTCGGCTGCTTCACCAACGCCGTCGAATGGTGAAAAACGCACATTGACGCCTAAACAGAAACGTAAAGTGGCCAAGGATCGCTATCGCACCTACACAATATCCTCCAATGCGGCAGTGAGTGAGGAGGAACGCCGGCGTTTAGAATTTAATGAGGCACAAATGGCAGACGAGACGTTGCAAATCGAAATCATCGAAACGGAGGGTACGACTAACGGCAGGTGAGTTTTTAACACGTAATGCCAGGAATCTTTTTACACCCTTTAATAAGTTCAACTTTGAAACTTGAGTCTTCAAGTAAATTCCTTTTTTAATTAAAAAACAATGTTGCCTACATTTAGGCGTCTTTATAAATTAGCGCTGATAATTCACTTTTTTTTAATCTAAATTTTTAATGTTACGGAACTACTTTGATTGCAGCTCCAGCAGTCGGCGACGTGCAGATGCCGAACGTTATCGAACACAAACAATTGTCTATACAACTGAAACCACAACAACAACGACAACCACAATCACAAGCAATGAACTGGAAGCGCAAGAGATCAACGCAAGCGCGGATGAATCGGCCGGACCGTATTCTTTGACGTCCACAGACGATTGCCCTTCGGAAAGTATGTCTTCGCTACGTGAATTGACACAAAAGTTCAAATTCATAAATATGCCCATTCGTACATCGAAATCCGCACCAGAAGCAGAAGCTACCGAGGTGAGAGGAGCTCCCGATGGTGGTGACTGCTTGACCAGCATGGAATGCGATCAAAATTCCGACACAGAATCACGTCATGAACAACAAGTAGCATACAATAATATTAAATGCTATAATGACCAAAGTGAAGAAGAAGAAGCATCCGCGGAGAGTGAATCGGAGAATTCATCTGTAGTGAAGACACCAGCACGTGCGCGTATCGCCAAACCCATAGAGCTACCCGACATACAATCAGTCGCCAATGCCGCTGATGAGCAGGCAAAAATTGTGCGCGGCCGCAAAAAGCCCGCCTACATCTCACCCTACAGCATACAATACCAGCGTACCATATCGCCGCAGACACGTGTCGCTACCAATAAAACGCTGACGCAGCAGTCAATAGCACCAACGTCGCAGACAAAGACGACCAGTTCGCGCTTGGCGTCACCGAAAAAAGCGCAGACACAAGGAAACGCTGACGCAAAAACTAACGCGACAGCGCCACCTCCACTGGAACGGCAGGGTACCTTTGTACAGGAGGAGCCAACAATTGCAACATGTCAGGTTCCGGTTGTTGTGTCGGCAGTCAAAGTAGCGGGTGCAGCAAAGTCAGCCACAACTGCGGGTGGTAGCCCACAGCGTTTTTCGAAATTACCAACAAAACGCGCAACCGCCTCGGTCGCCTCTAAAACCAACACAGCGCTCATACAGCCAGCTACTACCCGTAAAATACCGATTGCAACAAAATCCAACTCTCCCAAACATCGCAAAGTCACCGCCACCATCGGCGCGGCTACAAGCGCCGGCATGCCACAGCGTTCGAACAGCAATGCGGCCATACGTGTGACCAGCAGCGCGGCACGCATTACGCGCGTATCTGCGACAACGCCGCCAACGCGCAGCAACTCAAACCTAAACAGTCGCGATACCGCGGCAACGGCGGCGGCGAATGCAACAAAAAGCGCGGCAGCGAAAATCAATCAAGCGCAAAGCCGCATCGCCAATATTTGGAAACGCGTAAACGATGTTAAAAGCAAGCAGCAGGAACCATATAAAGCGCCGCGCGTTAATATCGCACGTGGCTCAGCGGCAGTGGTGAGTAAGTTGAAGTCACAGCAAACGAAGTCGTCGCCCGCGTTGAATGCGCCCAAAACAATAACAATGTTGGCAGCGCGCACGGCTGCGTCACAGCAGCAGAAACAAACGCTGATACGTAGCTCGACATTTGATAACACGCCGAATGGCGGCGTCGGCGCTCTGCAAAATGTGCCGCCGAAAGTGGCAGTCAAAGCCGGTAGTGGAATGTCAGTTGCGCAGCGCGGCGGCAGAAAATAAGTAAACACGTAAGCTTTTGCGTGAAAGTGCAATTAAACGCAATATCAAAAAGCAAAAAGTTAAATTGCGCGTCGCCGTTGAGAGTCATCTTAAGGAAAAATATTTGAGCGACGCGGCGTCATAAATGTATTGCGCTGCGAATTGCGTTTTACTTATCCCAAATGCAAACTCACAATAACCACAGCCCTCATTGGAACGACTTTTAGCAAATCAATCAAATCATTTAGTCAAAACTAAGCACTTAAGCGCATTTAAGTATCTCTTTAAGTTAGTATCTAATCAAAGTAGTGAAGTAAATATATAGAAAAAGGACCAAAAGCAAAAAAACACGCTGAGAAAAGTTAACGAAATGTACGGCAATGTTATCACACTAAACACAATTCGCTTGGGGGCGATTCATTTAACTGCATTGTAGGCCAAATTACAAAATAGTTTAGAAAATACGAAGAAAGGGACAGCGCCGCGCGATAAATGCGCGCAAAAGTAGTCAAATATGTACAGTATATATACATATGTATATCTATGTAAGCATACATGAAATGCTTGCGTAAGCATGGAATTTTGATAAGCGATAACAGTAAACGTTCGTTACATGCAACGCATATAAATGTGCATGCACTTTGGCTATCGAGCACTTGTAAGCTTTCACGTAACTGTACATGCCAGAAGAAAGTATAACAAGAAACTGCGTTCTAAATACATATGTAATGAAACATTTCTTTAAATATACATTGATTTTATTACTAATATGTGTAATGCAAGTTTGCGTCAAACAAAAAAACACTTACAGTCTTGTCAACACTCGTTTTAATCTAGCTGTGTGTGTGAGTGTGCCTAACAGCCGGCTGATAAGCAAAAGTTTAATACACTCCATTAGTGAACGATATTTAATTATCGCTAAGTTAATGATTCACTATAAATTAAATCGCCAAAATTCAATTACTTCCGTAATAGCAAACGTGTCTTCGTTTACTTCGGAGTTTAGGGAAAAGTTTTTATCCACACTCGATAACAAAAATATGCTTTTTGTGCTTATCAATATGATTAGAAATACATTTATGTGTGAGTAAGGCTGATATATTTGGCAATAGTTATACGGTAGTTTTTTTTTTTTGGTTTATCTGTACTACCTAGTATACCGTGCTTTAATGTATTAGACAGCAATGGCGCTTTGCTGAGTAGAAATAACGGAAATTGTGGAATTTTCGAATTCAAAGCTTGGTTTCAACGTTTAATTTCACATGTTATTAGACATAAAAATTGACATAGATTCAATTTTTCTTACTAAATTGCGTTTTTTTCAATTTGTAATCTGATAAATTTCCAAATTCATGTGTTAAACCGATTAAAGGTCTTACAGTCACAGTTCTGCTTCACTACAGAAGCGCTTGATTTCTAATTATTTTTTATTAAAATGCTTAGAAATCGAGTGTTCAAAGTTCATGTTTCCTTACTTCTGCTTTGGTTGTATTTCAATTGAATTCAGTAAGGGCTAAGCTGTTTGCTTTTGAAAAATTACACAGGATTTTAATGATTTATTAGTGTAAACTTACATAAATTAATTGAAATCCTTTTAATTTGTCATAAATTCCTTAAAATCAATTTCGATGCTTGTACTCAGCAAAGCAGCTTTGAATTAAAATCAAATTAATTGTCTTAGTGTTTTTAAAATATTTTGGCTCGTTCATTTCTTACTTAGTTTTAGCTTAACTGTTACTAGTGTGCATACTACAGGCCACTGTTTAACATTGATTTATTGTTGTACAACAGAAACATACAAAAACAAAATATATATATATAAAATATTCTGCAGAAATTTGGTGCACAATTAGTGGATTTTTCAAATGTTTTATGTGAGCTACACGCAAAAACATTTTTTTTTAATTGCAAAAATTCTTAAAATCAACTTAGCGGCGCAGAAAAAAATATGTTTGCTAATTATGGTTTGTAATAGATAAATAAATAAAAGGTATTGCAAAAAAAAAGTTTATTTAAGTTACAAACTTTTATTTATTTATTTAAATTTAAATGTTTTATTTAATTAATTATTACAAATATGCTTGCTATAATTTTTTTTCTCATTTGTTTTAAATAACTTTTTCTTTCGAAAAGCTATTAGAAAAAATTGAGTTCTACTTTTCATCACCCTTTGAAATTCACTAATTGTGCATTAACAAATTATTCGACTGCAGGCAAATTATTACTACTTTACCTATACCTAAAAACATATATATTTACTTTGCTGCTAGTTAGCGTGCTTAATAAATAACTATAAGTGTAAACGAATTTTTCGTACAAACCAAATATTAATATTTAATTTTCGAAAAAAAATCGTAACTTTAGCATTAAGCCAATATAGTCTTCTGCTTAATTTAAATTGCTGTTAATTTCAAAGACTTGAATTTTTATACTTAATTACATACATACAAATATGCGCGTCTTCTAAGTTTATTGCAATAACTACATACATACATAAATATATACAAAAATGTAAGTTTGAATAGTTGTGCGTTCATATTTTCCTTATAAGCGTCTTTTTTATTTGTAACTCTACAACACTGAGAATATTTATAAGATTTCTCGCCACCATATATGTTTTTTTTTGTTTTTTGTGTTAAACACTCAATTTATTTAATGTTTAAACACTTCACACACCACTCGAACGCATCTTTCTAAATTATTTCTATGAAATTCGAGTTAGAGCGTTGCGTTCGAGCGTCACAAGCTTAAAAAAAACTACATGCTGGCAGCAGAAACTCCTTTATTTACAATTTGTTGCATAAAATGTGTAAGCCGCGCAAAAAATCAGGTACTTCGATTCTTAGGCAAATAAAGAATGCGAATTTACTTCATTTTTTGCAAAAATCAAACGATAAATTATATATTATTTATTCATGTAAAGCAAAACGTTACGTGTTACAGAAGCGCTTGAACTTTTAACGCTTTGTATAAGCAGTCTTACTTTTAATTATTATTGCTGCAAATCATTAAAGGCGCATTAAATTATTCATAACATTTAAAATAAATAATTTCAACGAACTATTCAACTGCCGTTTTATTAATTTTAATAGCAATTATATTATTATTATTTTTTTTTTGTTGAAAAATGTTTCCACCCAAAAGGTAAAAAATTAAATTTTTCAAAACCAAAATATTAAAAAAAAAAATATTAAAAATTAAATTTGAGCTACTGTTCGCAGTTAGACCAACTAAGGTCTTTTTAATTTTTCTATATATACATACATACATAACTGTTTGTTAAAAAAATATAACCATGAAAAATATACAAATACAAACGTGTAGATCAAGCTAATACAGTATAGCGTACAGTATAAACAAGTAAAGTTTTTAAGTAATAAGAATGTTCCTTCAATTCCAATTAAAATTCTTACATACAAACATATAACATATAAATACAGTTAATACAACTTACTAAATACCTAGCAGTAATATTTCGATAATAAAATGTTGAGCAAATAAAAAAACTAAATTATAGTACATACATATATATACACAACACCTGTAATAAAAGTGCTTAATAAAATACACGAAAACCTGGTTTTATTTTCGTAAAGAAAAGTGCATTTCCTTAGCAATAAATTTTCCTGCTTTGTACATGTGCATATGTGTAAATATATATATTTATACATGTGTATATGAATGTGTATTTGCCTACAACTGCCTGCCGCAAACAAATGTGAGCAAATATGAATACAGTTGTCTGTCTGTTTACAGTTTATTAATCTTTACTGACTCGGTTTTGGCGCTGGTGATAATAAAATATTGTCGACGTTGAAAATTTACCTGATTTGTGCGACGCGTCTGTTTCCATTTCACTGTAACTTCACTTTGATACAAATTTAGTCACCTAGATTTTTCTCAAAATATTTTAAAAGATAAGCAACCCAATACTTTGCATTTCTTGTCCACAATTAAAAAACAGCAGGTATTTTTGTACATTTCTATATTTTATTTACAATTACATAATATATTTCATGCTAATTGTATGATTTATTTATATCGAAAAAAAAGTATAAATAATCGATGGAATAACTGCATAATGTGCAGTACAAAAATTAAAAAAATAAATAAACAAAAAAAAGTAACCTTACAAATGAACTGCAATGATCATGACTTTTTCCTTTGACTAAAACAAAATTTCTTTGCAGTTAATTGTCAAACAACTAGAAATTAAAATACAGAGAAGATTTTTTAATTTAAATACATAATAAATTATTCAATTTCATTGCAACAAACATAATTGTTGCTCATTTCAATTTATCGATGTTATATTAAACTTTCTTTTTTAACTATTTGCTAACGAAAGAAGTCTTGATGTCTGCTCAGTGGTGTGTGGAAGTAGGGCTTAGTATATATATGTGTGTGTGTGACGTGTTCAGTAGAAACGTTTCCTTGAATTTTTCTCTTTGAAATAGGATATTGCAAAAATGGCACCAGCGATTGTAATCAGCATGCCGAATAAGAGTATGAAGAAAATCTTTGCATTCGACATACCCGGTTTGGGATCGTCCTTGTGTTCGCGTGGCGGTTCATACGTTTTCGCACGCGGTAAAATACTAGAACGTGCTGCAATTTCTTCTGGCTGTGAAAAATATTTATAATGAAAAAAATTGTTTTCCACAATTGTATTAAATTCGGCACTACTTACCGAAACATTTATATCCAGATCGTAAAATTTGACGCCAAGTATATCGTGGTTGTCCGAGAGATCACCAGTTGTCGCGGACAGACCCAGAAAATAGCCGGTTGGTAACTCAACATCGTTGACCACAAAACAATTCTTCCATTCACCTTTATTCTCCATATCCGTAGAAACGGAAAGTATATCATTCTCATAACGTATGCTCACATGTGTATCAAAGTCCACATTGCGGAAGCGCACTTCACAACCTGCCAGTTGTGTATGTGTGCCATCGCGATCATGATCATAGGTCCAGGTGCCATTATTAATCATAGCACTGAGGTAGGGATGTTGGTGCTAGTCAAATGCAAAAAATGCATTAGGTTTAAATATGTATAACATATAATATACTATTAGCTTACATTATGTGGACCGTTATGATTGCTGTACGTATCTAAAATCACTGCTAAACCTGAAAAGTAATCTTTGCTGCCAAAAACAAGGCCTGGTTGCATACGTTCTTTGGTGTACCAAATTGAAAAACCATCTCCATACAGTTCATTGCCTTTACCGTGTACTTTGAATGTCACATGCAACTCCCAATTTCGCGTCATTACGGGCTATACAATGAAAAGACATTCATTAAAAATATATTTTTTTTCACGCTGAAAAAACAAACTTACCGAGTAATTCCAAAGTGCACCGCTCTTAGACTGCAAATCCGGCGTCAGTCTTATATAGTTACTAGTCACCATAGTGTGACCTAAGAAATCCCAATATGGTAAATTTATGCCAACGCCTATTAAGAAAGAAAAATACCAATTTGAGGTAACCGTCGACTCCTTAGTATTCTTTATTTCGTTTATGTCGTTTTAATTAATTAGCAATGAGAATACAAACATTTACCTTGAAATGGACGTATCAATGAATGCTCACGTTTCATGTACTCATTGTTACTCACAGAACACTCGCCGTTTTTTAAAACAGATAATAGAAGTATTGGCAACAAATTAACTAAATTCTCCCAGGACAAATTCAACATTTTCTGCAAATTTTATATGGAATACTCGAAATAAATTCGCGTTAATTCTACAACTGTCAAATGATCATTTGCGTTTATCTTGAGAACGTTCGGTGAAAGCGCCGGGCAATAGCCTTGTTTGATTTGCATTTTATTTTACACAAGGTTGCATTAATTCGATAGTACTTTTTGTTGTTCGGAACATTCAGAGCTTCGTCGTATACGGATAATAATATTTTTTATTACAATTGATAGAAGCGCTTTAAAAATCTCGACATTTGGACTCTTTGAAATATTGTGGAGAACAATATATCTTATTACTTTTTGTAAATGTATAGTTTAGGTCCCCCAACTAAGGAGACCTCAAAAATGAAATGTATATATTTACAAATATATTTAACGCACTTTGCACATATATTTCAAGTCACTTAGTTGTTGATCTTGTTGTAGCAGCAAAATTCTTCAGAATTCAGATCACTTAGCTGTAAAATACTGAAGAAATGGAACAGTCACCATTTTTGCGCACTGGCGGCCTTTGGCCGCGCTTAAAAAAAATTACCCTGGTTGGTCCAATACCGGGGTGTTCATAGTTCTTTTGCACCAAACTCCTTTCAGCAGCGAAAGCATATGTCTTAAAAAAATTAAAAAAACGTTTATTTTGGTTTTTTTTTTTTTTTGAAAAAAAATAGAATTATTGAAAAAGTTCACTTTCCGCTCACAGATTTGTAATATTCGCATCAAATTAAGACGATTTAAAAAAAATCATTTTTGAGGCCTCCTTAGTTGGCGAACCTATATATACATCAATCTTAGAAACTGTGGATAGCACTAATTAAACTGTAAATTTATTTATCTTAATTTGCAATATAAATTTACTTTTGTATTCTTTTTTGATTTCAGGATCACCCAGTAAAATATGTATGTATCGATCAGTAATTATATCGATGAATGCATATGATTATGTTTATATAAATCGATATATATAGCGAACCTCTATTGTTTACTATTTAATCTTTTAATAAATTGATTCCAAACTGTCATAGTTTTAGTAAAAGATATGCTAAATAATTGTTTTTAACCGATATTGCGCACGGAAATACTTAAAAGATCAAATTGAAAAAGACGAGAAAAATGGATGAACGAAATTTCCGTTCGAGTTATTATGAAAAAGTGGGATGTTATTCCGTTGAGGAAAAGAAATCGCTAAATAAACTGCTCCAAGACAATATACGTAATCACTCAAAATTAAAGCAGTTTTGTTTAAGTTATACTGTACCTACGGCACAACGTGGCCTATTGTGGAGTATTATACTTGGTGTACTACCACTACACAAAAACTCAATGGATTATATATTATTACAACGCACTGCCGTTTACGAGGACTTGCACCGTGCAGTAACTAAAATGCAATATATCGATAACAACTCACCGAAAAGTAAAGTGCTGCAGGCAATGTGGCTTTTGGAAAATGGTCGACTGTTGCACCCATTAACCGGTCCACCGGACGATGATAACAATTTTATGGAAATTGTTAAAGTACTTCTACAAATATTCGATAATGATGTGGAGACTTATTGGATAGCTAAGGAGTTTTTTGCATGCACAAAAGGAATAGAACAAGAATGCGCGAAATTAATGGAACTCACACAGACGCTGTTAAAGCGTGAGGACATTGAATTGAATAAGTTAGTTTTGGTGCAATATTTTTTTTCGAAATATAAAAGAAACAACATTTCATATATAATTACATTGCAGCCACTTAGAGAAACTGGGTGTTTTTAATACAGGGGAAATATTAGAAAAATGGTACGTAACCTGCTTCGCTGGAGTCATAACTGATACAGCATTAGTAAAAGTATGGGACAAAATATGTGGCGGGTCGAGAAAAATTGTTGTCTTTGTTTTCTTGGATTTAGTTAAAACGCTGAGAAATCATGTGTTTGGGTGCAACTCAATACTTGACTTAAAAACTCTAATTGAACAGGTATGAAAACGATTGAGACACTTAATATAAATATGAATCTATCCGATTAATTGTAGGTAAAGGATCAAGACGCTACCATAGTTAACAAAGCCATTAAAACTTGGCAAAGTAATAAGAACCACAACGAGATCACTGTACACTGATAAACAAATTTCGTCAGCACTGCGCTATATTTGGTTATTCCCATCCCTTTTCAACGTCTACATAACACTTAAATATATTTGAATATAACATCTTTTTTATCTGCAACGGTTTGCAACTCCAATGTCACCGGACACTGCAACCAATACGAGAGGAGCTCTTCAGTATAACCAATAAGGAAGTACATCTTTCTCGGACTAATTGCTTGGCGAACAATGGCAGATATTCTTATCATGTTATGTTGCCTTTTGATAATCACTTCGGATAAAATAAGCGCATGCCAGGTACCAGTCATGAACTTGCGCATAAACACATCTTCAATGGCTGTCTGTGAGGCCCGTTGTCCATCCAACATAGATGCTGTATGAAGCAATAAATAAAATTCATTTAAATAGAATATAGTATTTGTAATAATAAAATTTTTATACGTACACGTATTCCATGAGTTCCAAGCTTTGCGATGTGCAATATAGTGGGGAGGGTTGGCCATTTCATATGTGAGTGCACGATTACGTTTTGTCGTAACACGGTATCGACCAGCTTGCACGCGACTGCATACTGGACTTGTGTGGAATGCAGCAGCTGTTGCGGCGATTGCTTGAGAACACAAATTTGTGTTTTCCAACAACTGTTGTGCGCTCTACAATGAGAAAATGTGTTTATTATAGTTATATTAATTGAAAAACCTTCAATTACCTTTTTTAGGAGGCTCATTTCTCACTAAATAAATTTACGAATAATGTCCGCGGTAAGATATCAGCTGCTTATTGTGTCGTAACAAGAAACGTCAAAATGACAGCAAAAACCCAAATATTTATCAAAAAGTGCAAAAGGAAATTATAAAAAAAATTAACAGAAATGTCAAGCACAGCAAAACAGAAGTAAATGTTTTGGACTCGCAAATTTTGTTTTCATCCAATCTGTCTGGATATTAATGTTAATTAAATGAACCATTTCTAACATTCATTAATATCTGCATTAATTACTATTTTAGTTTGTGACGTGTTAAAGGTGTTGTGCTGTGTAAGAATAGAAGTGTTGTGCTAAAATGAGTAGTTCGCGTAATCTCTTGTTGCGTAGTCCAGATAGTGAAGAAACCGCCAGCAATGCCTCTAATAACCTTTTATCTGGTTCCCCATCATTATCCTCTCTAAATAGATTGCGAGATACTTTCCGACGATCGGAAAGTATTTCCTCGCAAATTAGTGCATTAGTTTCGAATGCAGCTGGTGTGGTGACGGGTTCAAATAATGCTCAAACGGGCATACCATCGGAAGTTTCATCAGCTTCTTCCCAAACCTGTACGCCCAAAAAACGAAAACCTGGTGAGTTGATTATTTATTTATATATATAATACAAAAATACATTTATCGCAATGTTAGCTGCAAATTTAATAAGCTATAACATACTTGTATTTGTATGTACGTATACAGCTTGCATTCATGCACACCCGCCCAAGTCTTTGCTACAAAATAGCCTGAGTTATCTGTGATACAACAGGTGATTTAAAAACTTACGGAGGCGTTTGTAAGCATTAAGCATTTGACATCAAATACGAAATCAGATAAGATATATCGGATCGGCAACTATCAATTTATTATTCAAATATTTTTATATAGAATGAGATTAGTACTAACAAACTAGTACGGGCATTATCAAAGAACAAAGAAGAGACAGAATATATCTAAATATGTAAACAAAAATCTTAATATTTTGAATTAATTTGTTTACAATATTTAGATAAATAATGAGTGCACTCAGTTGCAAGTAGTTGAGTATTCTTCTTATATGTATGTTACCAGTACCCTTTATTTATTCGTCCCTAATTAATTTATATTCTGGAATAGGATTATTAAAACATCTGAAGTTACAACAATATTGCTGTAAAGATTTTAAATAAATAACTGTATTGAAAGTAGTTAAGACTATGTATGTATATACTTAGTCCTGCCATACATATATTAAATGAGTAATGTACAAAATTTTATTCGAAATGGCAACGTTTTGATTTCATACAAGCTTCATTTATCAATAGCAGCTCGCACAGTTTCTATTGGCATTAACGACGCTGTTCAAAGCAAATATTTTTTGATATTCTTAAAATTTTTGTGCGGTATTCGACAGGTTATATTCTCCAACTCTGACCACAAACTGTAGACCTATAGATTCAAATCTGGACTTACAGACGGCCAACCAACAACAGTTATGAAACCAGGAATGTTGGTTTTAAGCTACTCCTGGGTGGCTTATGGTTATAAAAAACCTCTACAACAGAGAAAACTTTTTGGTTTATAAAAATAATACTTTCAAGGTCGTTAACCGCGTGCCACTAATGAAACCGCTTACATCTGTTGAACCTTATTTACTTCAAACGCGTTGTGAGAAGATAATCAGTTGGCCAACAGTGGGCTTTCAATTGGACATCATTTCGAAATAGTCTTGACATTGATCTAGTCGATGTATCCATTTCCCTTATGTTTTCTTAGAGAATTTCTCCGAACACGTTAGCGACCAGTTTTTGTGGCTGAATTGGTTCGAACCACGCGAGAACGACCACTTCTCTTTCTATCATCAACTGTAGACATTTTGGAAACCCGATCAATAGTACGGCAAACAAACGTTCTCGAAATATCAAGTTTTTTGAGAAGCTGACAAATTGCTTTTGCATCTAAACTCATATAACTCACCGCAATACGATTGTTTTTAACTCCATTGCTAATAAGCGAAAGCAAACATTGAACTGATTCTTAGTCGGAAATACTGAATTGCCTCGAGAGCTTCCATATAACAATTATAGTATACGTTTGTTAAAGCTATTATACACTTACAGTGTATTGTTACATGCATTATATGCATTATTTAAACCGCTACAAATTCAAATAAAGGGTGTTTAGTTGGGAGGCAACAAAACATTAAAGCAATTGGCTTTTGACCGTCGAAGTGACAGCGGTGCAATGGAAAATCAATAACGGCAACTTGAATACAAGTAAATTGTGAGTGAGCAAACTCACCACCGGATGTGAGCGAGTTGTGCTAGTAAATTGACGACTTCAAGCAGAGAGCCCTAAAGGATACAAAACTATACACTCAAATCGTGAGAATTGAGAACTTGAAGCAGACAGTCATCAGTGAAGTAGCCAGTCAGTCGCAATACAAATACGTTTTTATCATTCACTCGCATATTATACGGTGCAGTAATTGTGAAAACACAGTGGGAATTTGCGTGAAGAATTATTCGTGCTTTTAAATAGTAAAACTATTTTACAGTGCTAATTAAATATAAATAAACAAAAGAAACAAACAAAAAACTAGCTATAAAAGTCAATACAAAAGCGAAAAGGCAAAATTTCGTCTACAACATCTTTGGCTTGCATCGATGGTGATTGTGGGTGGGGAATTACGCTTCGATTTTTCACCAGAGCATACAATATTCGATTAACGCGAGCTATAATTACTTTTCGCAGCAATTTCTTAACTTTAAACAAAGCTAACAGCGTTTTTATTATCACACCGTGGAGTCTGAGCTAATTGTGTCCGTTCCCAGGTTATATTTTTTCAACAATTTGATTTGGCTTATGCGCACCCAATACCTATAACATGCGCTCCCTGGCTGACGAAACCAGGAAATTAACGTTAAACAATAACAATAACAACAGTACAGTCGAACAACCAAGTACACAATCGACAACCATAGCGGTTTTTACGCAGTCAAAAAACTCGAATAAAGTATACAAGATGCAACAGCAAGTCAACGTGATGACCAGTGTCACCACGGGTGTTCATCAAAAGCAACATCAACATCATCAACAACAACAGCATCAGCAGCAACTTAAGCAACAGCAGAACAACAACTCCACAACAATTAGCCTGCCAAAGGCGTCACATGCAAATACAAGCGAAGAGATTGCCGGCGGCGTGCAGGACACCATCTATTTGTGCAACTTTCGCGTATCCGTTGACGGCGATTGGCTGTGCCTGAAGGAGCTACAAGATCTTGACATTGGGCAGCAGCATAGTGGCGGCGGTGGCACCAGTACCAGCGTTTATGGCGTACAACGCGGCACACAGCTGGGCCAAAAGAACAAACGCTATTCGGGAATGTCGAACGGTTTGGATGATAATGGTATATTGACTGTCCGTAACTTGCTGGGTCGTCGTTTTAACGATGCACCCGAACATGTGCACAAGACGAACGGTTCGTCGTCGTCGTCGTTGTCGCACTTGCTTACCGCACGACACGCACATGCAGATAATGGCTTGATTGGTGTGTTTGGTGTTGGTGGTACTGGTGAATGGTCCAATCACCGTAGGTTGCTTTTTTTCAACTAATTTCCATTGCAATACACTCACACATACACGTGCATATGTAAATAGTAAATTCATGTTTTTTTTTTTTTTTTGTTTTTTTTTAATACTTGAAACACATTGCATTTTTGTAGTTTTTGTTTTCAAATAATTTTGTTTCATTGACAAATTGAATCATGGTATGTCTGATAAAGGTTCGGTATGTGTAAATACGTAATAGCTACCCAGCAGGAAAATATTCGGTATGCTAACTGTTGCACGTGGATCTGTAATAAATTCTACTGTTTGCAGGCGCCAAAGTGTGTTGTAATATACATTCTCGAAAAAACACATAATGTTGTAAAAGGCGCTAAATTGTGTATCACTGTTGCGTGAGAGTTGCGGGAAATTTTAGTATACCATCCCACGATTTCACGGTTAAAATGGGTATGTTTAGATAGAGGAGATTCTCCACATTAAGAATATATATAATTATAATCAACCTGGATACCTTTTGTTTTTGTGTACAAAATTAAAATGCTTATTGTAAGGCAAATATTAAAATAATTGATATAAATTAAATATGTAGAAACAATGTAGGGAAGTGTTAATGCATAATATAAAATAAAAATTAACTAAAAGTCGAGAAATTTTACGATAAAATTTTTAAATTAAAATGCAAATATCTCGAAAACTATAGGTTTCCGGCGGCTATAATTATATATATTCTTAATTTGGAGAAACTTCTCTATCAAACCATACCGTTTTTAACCCTGAAATCGTGGAATGGTATACTAAAGCCGACCCCAGGGTTGTTTTAATAATTAATATTTTATACGTATGCACACTTACACATACATTTTGGTTTTCATAAATTCGTGTTTCCTCATTTTCCCTAGAGGGCGTTTGGCTACCAGTGTTGATATGTATAAGCATTGTTTCACACCTGATTGCACTTATTTCACTTGCATGAAGGTGATGTCATTCGTGTTCATTTACCTTTAAAGTATCCTTATACAAAGCATCACTTATAGGTGCCATAAATGTATTTGTTGTTTTACTAGAAGTGTGGTAGATAAATCTCTTGAGAACAATGCATTAGACTTATAGTGGTACTCACACATTCATCTTGTTGCTTAAGAGTCTAAAATATTTTTGAACTTGTGTTAAAATGGCTGACAATTTTTTTTTTTTAAACATTTTAAGAGCTTTAGTTGGTTGAAAGTTTACAGTTTATGAATAACTTAATTGGCTTTTCGAATATATCACAGTTTCGAAATTTTTTACTGATGATTAATTAGACATTTTTTAATGTGATAAAAACACTATGAGCACCAGGAAGGAATTGAAGACCATAAGAGAACAAATGTGTACAGTTTTAAAATTTCTAGCGATTTGAACTCATCATTCACTAAGTGGTAGTCACCACACATAAAATTTCACTTAAATCAATAGATATGAAGTATATTCGTCAATGCTATAAACTTTAGGACTCCCTCCTTAGACTTGTTTTTCGACAAGTGAAGCTCACACTTGATCTCTTTAGAAATCACTTGATCGCCTTTTTGGATCTCACTTGTGATCCAAAGAGGAGATATCTTTCTAATATCTAATGCAGTGAAATTTCGAAGCTATAATCATGAACCTTGCATCACACCATGCTCTACTTAGTTTTTGATGAAATAGCGTAGAGGCTTTAAGAAGCTGTTTATGAGTAAGAGCCACGTGTACTTTGGTCACACTATATGCATTGTTTGTTTTGTAATCACGCTGACAGCAAGATCCGTTATTTATTTAGCGAAAAAATTGCTTAAATAGAATGCAAAAATATACATAAATAATGCGAATAAACACTTGCGATAAGTAAATAGTGAAATAAATACGCTATAGTGTAGATGCTAATTGTTCTAGTAGTGAATTTAAGAGATTTATGTGTCGTACATGGTTTCCCAACTGCGTGAACCTTTCGAGTGATCTCGAGAAGCTGGACGTTCCGGTTGCGGCAATAGGGGCATATCCTCTTCATTCTGTAATAGAACTATTTAATATTGATTTATATAAAAGTGATACCTTCCTATACACTACTCTTCTTATTGTCTGTGGGGATGGTACGTTGTATGCCCAAGCGCTTCGTGCTATCCGAACTGGATGAACTTTTTAGCTCTGCGCCGCCAGCAAGACGAGATTTCGGCGGTACCGCTTTAGATTTTGCCGGTGCTGGCTTAGTTTTCGTTGGTGATGGTGATGCTGATTTTTTCTTCTTCTTCTCATCTATTGTGACCACTTTCTGTTTGCTTTTTTTCGCTTTCTGACGCACTTTACTTTCGGGCTCGGACGAGGAATAGTAATCGAGTGAGGTTGTTTCGATAATGGGTGCACTTTCCGATTCCTTGGTGGCGCGCTTAGAACATGGAATGCATTTAGCAGCCGGTTGACAGGCCAGCGACGATGTGGAAGTGGACGCGCGTCGGTCTGGAAAGTTGAAATTGATTAGTTAGAGCTGTTTTATTTCACTTTTTACACTTTTTGTGTGATCTACGTGGTTGTGTTGCAATAACCGATTTCGTTTCGGGCTTAATAACGATCTCTTCATCGGCTGGTTTCTTTCTGCACAGTAAAAAACTGCACCATGCAGGACATCTACGCTTTTTTTTCGGTGGCTTTGGTTTCGGCTCAGTCTTACGCCTACGCTTACGGTATCTCAATAACATAGCGACAAGCAGTATGATCAGTAATATGAGCAGTATAAGTCCGATAATGCAACAAAGATACTTGAGATAATGTTTTTGTTCTTCGGATGTCAACTTGATTAGGGACCCGGCGCCACCATGCTTTCCACCCTTTGTTTTACACTTTGGCTTCTTGGTTTTATGTGTTTGATTTTGCTGTGTTTGCGGACTATGTTGGTTTTGTTGAGCTTTAGACTTTTCGCAAATCTTTCGGCTCTGCAGTTGTCTATTATCGTTGTCGCTCTTCTCAAACCAACGTTTACTGTTAATCATCGTTTTTCTGGCGCTCTCCTTCATCTTGTATTCCAAGGCCTTTTGTGCGAGCTCCATATCGGAAAAGCCATCGTCGCTTTTACTATCGCCAACACCGCCAATATCGTTCACACGCGTACCACTCAGATCCTCTATGCGCTGATTGAGCGCTTCATCATCGTTTAAGTTCAGTGCCTTACGGCCTTTTCTTAATTTTTCAACAATTCGCAATACACCACCCAGACCGGGATAGAACTCCTCGTCGGATAGATGTGGTTTTAGGTTCTCATTAATCCATGCTATAAATTTGTAATTGTAAGCTTCTTGTGGCATTGACTGTGACTGATAGCAACGTGTGACCGTTTCGTAGAATCGCATAATTATATAAGCAGATTTCGGTGATCTGAGATCATAGTTGCGCCGCTTTCGAAATGGCAACCATATATTACTCAAACCATTTTCAATGCAATCGGCCTCTAGTTTTGGCAAAGCCACAAGCATAACATTTTCATCGCCATCATTGGCCGGCAACATTTCGAGACGTGCACAGCCGGTTGGTCCGCCACCAGCACCGTTGCCATCGCCACCACAGTCCGAGCCCCTTATAGAGTCCACACGCACACTTTCCATTTCCTCAAGTAAAATGGGCATTTTCCAGCCATTGCCGTTTGTGTTTAAATAGGACTTGCATTGCTGATACAGCTCTACCACACTACTGACCACCTTGAGACTGGCCTTGCCGCCATAATAGGAGTATTTAGCCACTGGCAGCATGTATGAGCGCAAGTACCCGCCCAGCATATCGTAATAAGCTCGCTCAACCACCTTTCTCGAAACGTCGTTCATTCTCTGTATAAACTCATTGCCATTGTAAAAGTAATTTAGCAGCATCTTTAACATGTCGTCGTTGAGTAGACATTTCGGCAAATCTTTCGGCAGCAGGTACTGCAAATAAATGAGAATTTTAAGTTCCTTTTTCCTTTACGCAAGCATAAAAGTAACCGCACGCTACCTCAAAGTCTCTTCGTGCGGCCAGCAAATTCAAATCTTCCGGCGAAAAGCAATTCTTACGTGTACTATCAAAAAGATTCGATCCCACAAATTCATTCAATTCCATATTAGTTATATCTTCTTCCTCAGCTCTACGTAAATACTTCAGTTTCCTTGTTGGACTTTCAACAGGATCGTCTGAAATACCGTCTAGCTTGCAAGTGTTCTCCACATCGAATCGGTCCTTGTCATTGAGCACATGAAAATTCATGATGCCCTGATTGAACTCGCTGTTAAGATCGGCCGCGAGTTTTAGACCATTCGCGAACTGACTAGGCTGCTGGATGGTGCGCAAATCGAAATCGTACACTGGACAGCCGCCCGGACAGAGCAACATCAGCAGCACTAGGGACACACATATTTTCATCTTTACATGTCAAATACTTTTTCAAAACTGATAATTTCTTGCCGATTGACGTCTACGGCAAATCAAAAGCCCCTGTGATCAATTGAATCGTCTACAGTTTTTTATACGAATTTTCTTGTTTTGTTAAGTTTTCACTTGATTATGCTTTTCGATATTAAATATTTTCAGTTGCAAGCAAATTCTGATATGTTAGTAGCGTGGGAATGCGAAAGTGTTTGTGGGCGTGACTTAAAAACGATAGAATACGAGTATGCGCCGATTGCAAGGAAATTTTGAAAATAATTTCTGTGACATTCGACTGTTATACTCGAAGAGAACGTGAAGACCATTTTTCTCCATTTCAGTTGCCAAACTGACGTCAATATAGCTTAACAGGTATATTCTCAATTGTAAGAAGAGTGTTGTGGCTTCACCACGTTCGGCGTAAACTCGTTATTCTTTTAATTCGGGCGTGTGATTGTATTATGAATTTTTGAGTGCTGAAACTGATCCCGTTGATCACATGCATTACATAAACCAGACTTTACCGCTTAATTAGCCAATTCAACTTGGCTAATCGTAGCTCTTACAGTGTTTAATCATTACAAATCGACGACTTGTACTTTTAGCACGCGATCCAGCTGAAATCGAACGCAGTAATCTCGTAAATATTTGTAAACTCGTGGTAAAGGAATTACTAGAGCAATCGCTACGTTTCGGACGTATGTTGGACTCGGATCACCTACCGCTGCAACATTTTTTCATTGTCATAGAGCATGTGCTAGGTCATGGCTTGCGTCCAAAGAAGGTGTGTTAAACTACTTCTGACCGCTGTGCACGCTTTTGTCTTTATACAACCTAACCGATTATTTTAGGGTCTTTTGGGGCCACGCAAAGAATTGTGGGATCTGTTGCAGAGCGTAGAAAACTATTGTCCCGAAGCGCAGGATATCACCGCAAGTGTACGTGATTTGCCCACCGTGCGCACACATATTGGACGCGCTCGAGCTTGGCTACGCATAGCGTTGATGCAGAAGAAATTGGCCGATTATTTGCAAGCGCTTATCGAACAACGAGACGATTCACTCTACGAATACTACGAACCGCATGCGCTAATGATGAGCGACGAGGTACCTAATACTAATGACTTAGTTGTTAGTGCAATTTTGAGTGTTCCTTCGTTTTCTCTTGTGTCTCTCGCCGTAGATTGTGGTCATTATGGGCATTCTAGTGGGTCTAAATGTTATCGATTGTAATTTGTGCGTGAAAGAGGAAGATCTGGATTCACAACAGGGTGTTATCGACTTCTCGCTTTACTTGCGTTCAAGTTCGCGCAGTAACGAGAACGACGAAGAGATCAATCAGTCATTGGAGGCGAATGGTCAGGGCAATATGATTGCCGTGTTGGACCAAAAGAACTACATTGAAGAGCTCAATCGGCATTTAAAGTATGTATTGTATTGCTTTGAAAGTTATGTAGCCAATTGCGCAACACAGAGGCGAACGACTTTCAACGATAATTTAGTGGAGAAAAGTAGCAGTCTGGGAACTTAAAAGTAAAAGTAGTTTTTTAAGCAATTATCTAAAAAAAATCGATACACATATATATAATTTTTTTTGTGTTTTTAATAGATTGCAATTTATCCATATAATAATATCTATCCTACCATATATCTATATCAAATATTTACTAGACCACTTAAAAGCTTTTGAAAATGAGTTGCCTTGTGTTGCACAATTGCATGCAGATTCCTTTTGCTAGCCGAGACGGATTTTTTTTTATCACTTACGTGATTTCTCTTTAGTGCCACAGTCGGTAATCTACAGGCTAAAGTTGAATCCCTTACAACAACAAATGCGCTTATGAAGGAGGATCTAGCGATTGCGCGCAATAGCCTCTTAGCCTTACAAGCCGAAAATCAAGCACTACGTCAAAATGCCACCCTTACCAGTACGTATATACATCCTTTACGTGCTCTCTGAAACAATGCGAGCATATTTTGTTTCTACACACATAAATATTCACATATTTCCCATAGAAGATGTTCCTACATCAAACGCAGAAGACAGTCCAAACAAATCGTCAGATCGTGCGAATAAAGCAACGATCGAAACACTCAACGCCGAGTTGTGTGAAGAGAAAAAGAAATATGCCGAACTCGATAAGGAGTTGAAACTACAAGTATCTCTTAAAGCCGAATCCGATATGGCAATGAAATTGCTTGAAAAGGATATACACGAAAAGCAGGATACAATCGTATCGTTGCGACGACAATTGGACGATATAAAACAAATTAATTTGGAAATGTATCGCAAATTACAGGTGGGTACGAGGTGGTGGCGAAAAAGCCAAAGGTTACAAAGAAATGCGAAATTGCTGCGAAGTAAAAGTTATAAAACTTTTTACTTGAGTAGCTCAATTTAATAATTACCTCAATTATACAAAATAAATTGACTTAATTTTAATTGCATTGAAGCGCGTTCCTTTCAATTACATCAAAATATATATTAGCGAATTTCGAGTTCATAAAATTTCGGAATTATCTAATGTACTAAATTAGCATTAATTTACTCATGAGTATACCTATATGTAGACAATTAGATGATTGACTAAATTAAGTGGCTAGCTGAATCATCTATAAGTGCAATTAGAATATATGAAACTAAATTAAATTACAATTTTATGAGTTTTTAAAGTCAAAAATAATACCGAAATTATAATAGTAAAAATAAATAATAAAATTTTTAAATTAATAACAAATCATTATTTTAAATTCATATACATATATGTAAAAGCTCAAAATAAAATAAATAAAAGTAATAAATAAAATAAATATCATTAAATATAAATAATTATGAAATTTACTCAATATAAATATGTTATACAATTTTTTTTTTTAAAGAATTAAATTAATTTTTCAGAAATATATAAATTAACACTATTTTCTATTAATTAATTTAAATTTTAAATTTCATAGTTAATTAACAATTTACAAATTAGCCAATATTTAATTGATTAACTTTAAACTTAACTTTAATTAGCCTAAATATAGTTGATCTGAACTCAAATAATTAAATTAATTAAATAATTTTTGTTCTAACTTCAATTAATTAAGCTTCTTAAAAATACACAAAAAAATTTTGATTAATAAATAATTAACAAAAAAAGGAACTAAAATATAATTTATCTAAACTAAAATAATTAAATTAATTAAAAAATTTCCTTTTTAAAAGAATTTAATTAATGCAATTTTATAAAAATACGCAAATTAATTGAATTAAAATAGTTAAATTTATTATTGAAACAACTTCTAGCTGTCTACAATATATTTAATACTTAATTATTTATAAATATGTAAGTTACATCAACATTATTTGCATTACGTATGTATGTACGCTCTTTATATCAAACCATCCGAAATTTACACCTAATCAGGAATGTGAAGACGAGCTGACCCAGAAGGGTGAAATGGTCTCACGCCTACAAACCAAAGCTTCACAAATCGGCAACATATTGCAATCGCTCGAAAGGAAATACGAGTCTAAGCTAGAGCAGCAACAACAACAACAGCAATTGGCTGGCCAACCCGTTGGCGATAAATCGCCCGCGTCACGACGTCAACAAAATCTACAAAAATTCGAAGCGCTTACCAAAAAGCATCGGCAGGACATTGGGCCACCGGTGAAGCGTTTACATTTGAAAGTCGACGCCATACCACCATTCAATCCCAATAATTATCGCAAGTCACCATCGGCAACAGTCGCACCCGACAAACTAGAGGCTGAGGGCGAACTCAAAACACCCACTTCAGCGAAATCATTCACCGAAGTGGGCAAATCCTATCCGGACAAGCCGATGGACACCTGCAAAAGTGACTATGCCTTGTCGCAAGAGAAAATCTAAAACTGAAAATATGTTAGATACTTATTTAGGCATTCATTAAATTAAACATTACTTGATGTTAAGCATTTATTTTACAAAAAAAAAAAAACAACAACAATAATCGAAAATCATTTAGAAAACTAGTTGAAAGTTTCGTTAGCGATTCCTATAGGCTTGCTACTAGTGCAAGTATGTGTTTAGATGCTGCAAAGCTGCAAAAGATTATGTAAAAATATTTTTGAAAATTTTAAAAAAAGGTTAAATGAAAGTTTAATGTCTTAATTAAAATCATATTTAATTTGAAACAAAAAAATAATAATAATAAAATAGAAGAACAACAATAATAATGTATAATTGTCGTTAGCGTAAAGTATGGCTAACGCTTACTCAAGTCTTTATAGCTGTGAACAGTCATTACCAATACTCGTATTCGCATACTACAGGCCTTTTTATTAACTTAGGAGATATTTTGAAAGTAAAAATTCGTACATACAATACAAATATAATATAAAGTTAGAAGCCTAGATAAATACATACATACATACATATTTAGCTACATATACAAACATATATTGTTGTTAAAAATATGGATGTTGAAATGTATTTGAATTATAAGTTAAAGCGCAAAATATCTGCAGTCTATTCAAAAGTACAATGCTATATTCTTACAGATAACATACAGACATACATACATGTAAACAGAAATGTAATACCTGTGCGTAGATATACCGAAAAGTTACTATGTATGTACACATAAAACCAATCAGAGGAATTTAGTACTCAGAAATCATAGATTATAGCAACTAAACATACATACATACATATATACTTATAAATAGGTATACTTGAAGGAGTTATATCCAGTTGCAAGTCAGAAAAAAAGCGTTTTTTTAATTGTTTTTTTTTGTTTTTTTCTGATGAGGCATTAAAAATAAACTACATTTACAGAATTTAATGCACATTAATAATTCATTTTATTTTGAAATATTGAATTCAATGAAATCTCCAGAAGGACCCCCATGAAAAGGTGTCTGGCGGTGAAGAAGATTTTTCCTTTTAACATTTTCACCAATGCAAAAACCCAAAAAAAAATTATTAGTACTATAGATAAATATACGTAATCATCGAGGGACTCGTAAAAATTTTGATTTTTCACAAAATGGCGGCGTTCCAAAAAAAGGCGTTTTTTTTGAAAAAAACTTTACTAAATTTTTATCAAAAATCTTCGATCATTACCTAGCAAATATATCTGAGAAGATGAAAATTTCAAGTCGCACAATCCAGCCGTTTCAGAGAAATTTTGCTCGCCGACTTTAAAAACAGCGTTTCGAGAAAAACGTGTTTAAAGGTTTGGGAGCCGATTACACCAAAATAAACATAATTTTACAAATACGCTATTCTCTCCGAAACTATTCGTCGGATCAATTTCAAGTTTTCAGAGATTATTCTTAAATATACGTACATTCGCTAAGCGATATGCAAACAAAAAAAATCGATTTTTCTAAATTCACAAATGGATATAACCCCTTAAAATTCATAGCAGCAAAAACCATATGAATATATGTGGAATTATCAACTAGTCAGCGTCATTTTCTAGTCAAAATTATTTTATTATTTATCATTAAACACTTAGCTTTTAAAAGTGAATTTGTATGTGTGTGCATACACAAATGCTTGATTCATGTCATGTATATCGCTTATTTAAATTTACTTTATATAATTATAATTACTTATTATTTTATTATTGTTAAAAATGAACGCTAGTAAATATTATATGTGGCTTATTAACTCTAGTACTATAAACAAGTGTAAATTGAAAAATCAGTATTTGATTCACTTTAGGACTTCAAACAGTACTCTAAACAGAAGAATTGCAACAGTTTATTGAACTAGTCTTTATTATATAAGTTATTTGTTATTTACTTTGCCAAATTTACCGCTCTAAATATCATATGTACTAAGATTATCTAGCAAACCTTATAAATGCACATTATATTGTATTATATAAAATATAAATTGAAAGTAAAATTAAATTAAATTTAAGTAATATGTATGTATTAATTAAAATTAAAATAAAATCAATAAATAAACAAATTTACTTAAAACTAATATTAATTCACGAGTGCATCTTTCCTTTCTGCTATTTTCATGCAATTAGGAGTGTGATGCTTCGCTCAAACATAAAACCGAATTGCTCACAAAGCTCGAGAGTCAAAAGGAAGATATGGCCAGCACAATTGCACAGCTGGAAAAGAAGTAAGATTTTCGTTTGCTTTTGAGTTATTTCAGAAAAGTTGTGTGAAATTGTGAGCATCGAAAGTGAGTTTTGAGCGCGCTATATAAGAAGACCTGTTGTGCCTTAGTATCTTTCACATTATGCGGTAATTGTATCTAAAATCCATTTCACCTAACACCCTAACTTGAATCTTCTCGTAATATTTTTGAAATATGTGCTTAAGATGGTTAGATATAAAATCGGCTGCACCGAAGCTATAATACCCTCCACCGTTCCCACGGAACGTATGCCGGAACGGACCCGAATTTTTATTTGGCCAAGGACTGGCATTCTTCAACACTATTTCAGGAATGTTTTTGTCGCTACAACAACAACAACAACCCTTTACAGGTGCATTTTTTTACAGCATAAACGGGTGTCAAAATATTTTTCTTTTGAATTTGATTGATTAGTTTAAATAACAGCTATATGCTATAGTTATCCGATCTGAACAAGTTTTCGGAGATTGTAGCCTCGCCTTGGACAATAATCTATGCCGAATTGCGTGAAGAAATTTTGTCAAAAGAAAACAGTTTCCTTTACAAAGGACTTAAGTTTGATAGATCCGATATCGGCGGTTCCGACAAATAAACAGCTTAATGGGAAGAAAAGGACATGTCTAAAATTTTAGATCGATATCCCATAAACTGAGGGATAGTTCGCGTACAGACAGAAGGACACGGCTATATCGATTCAGCTCCTTACGCTGATCACTTATACCATATATACCTATACTTTATATGATCTCGGACATTTCCTTCTGGGTGTTACGAACTTTGTAAATAACCCTGTTTAGGGTATAAAGATAATCATGTGATATCGTTTACATATCACTGTTTTAACTCAAATTAAACCTGTGGTGTTTCGCTTGATTTTCGGATTCATAAAAGGTCGCCTAATAATTTTTTCTTCGCTGTCAATTGGAAATAAAAAGAAAAGCATAATTTGGTCTCCATTTGAGTCAGATGGAACCCGTTCCTGCTCTCTCGGATTAATACCTATGATATGGTATGCGAATATACCGCTTTTTCCGAGAACCGTATATTTGAACTTTCCAAAATGCTTCATATTAGATATTGTTCTATAAGTTCTCTTTAAATACGGTTGAAACTGTCAAGTGGGTTTGATATTTTTTCAGGAGGATAGTATGAAGAAAACATTAAGTGAATCTCAAACCCAACAAAAACGTTTCATATATAAGATTGAATTACAACTAAAACTTTCAAACCCAAAGACAAGAAAGGCATTAAAAGCTTCAGTTCTGTTCTAAAAACGTACTTTTCTGATTCGGATTTCGGTATCATACAGTAAATCTACGGAATTTCATTTTAAAACTTGTTCATGTTGGGAACATGCTTAGCCAATGTTGTTGTAACGTATATCTAATCCTTGTTTGGGTGGAAAGGCGCAAGTTACTTCCAATCGAAATCACTTAACGGAAGGTCTAAGAAACATGCCTTTTCAATGGGGTATATATTTTATAATATTTCCCTTACTCCAACGCTCGATCTCACAATTTCACACTCTCACAAAATATAAATATTAACAATATAAATAATTTTCACCTTTTTAATTGTATTCACAATTTTTCTTCATTTTCTCAACCCACAGATGGGACAATGATAAAAGCAATTTGGGGGAAATACTGAAGAATACCTCACAAACATTGTCCACACAGGTGACCGCATCCGAGGAGCGAGCCGCACGCGCTGAAGCTGAGGCGCGTATTGAACGCGAGTGGCGGCATTCGTTACAAGAGAAGGAAGTAAAGCTGAAAGAGAAAATCAGTTCACAGCAAAATTGCATAAAAGCGCTCACCGACGATGTACAACAGAATGCTAAGCTGCGAGTAGATCTCGACAAAATGCGCACACAATGGACGGAGGCACAAACCACACTCGAAGAGTTGGGCATACAGTTAAGCGTTAACAAATTGAAGGTTTCCGAATTGGAGGATCGCGAAAGAAGGCAACAGCAATTGCGATCGTCTGATCTGTCGTTGCAGTCACCCTCGGAGGTGGGTAGTGCTGGTATATGGGCGCCAGATTCAATTGCCACACATTGCATGGCTTGCAAGAAAGAGTTTGGCCTGACGCGTCGAAAACACCATTGTCGCAGCTGCGGTGAGATCTTCTGTAACACATGCTCGGAGCACACACTGCCACTACTCAACGATCAGGGGCAGCTGGGCAAGCCGGTGCGTGTTTGCGATCGCTGCTTTGAGACGAGAAAATGATGATGCTTTCACAAATTTACATTAATTTATTTTTATATCGTAGCTAAAGGCATACAAAGCCTCTGTATTAAATATGTATGTATGTAAATGTTTATGTATATGAATTATATTTGTATTATCAATGTGTACATATATATCTATTGATCAATTTTGTATTTGTGTGTATTGCCGAGTTAAAATCAAATTCTGTGCAGGCTCGGTATTTATAAAACAATTCACCAACTATTTTAAATGTGTACAACTTGTCTATATTTACAGCGACAAATATTGTACGAACTTATGCAAATATTCTAGTTTTTAGTGTAATAAGCGGTATATGCTAGTATTTTAAACTGTATCAAATATGCTTGTATTTAATGTATTGAAATATTTATTACTTTTCATACAAATATACCACAAATACAATTAAACGAATTATAGAAAGGCAATTTATTTCTTTGAATATTCTTTTTTATAATAGTAATATATAAATTATAGTAACAAGCTACTGCAAATTAAAGCTAGATCAAAGAGTGCGGCAGTTGCGAAGATGTACTAATTTCCAATTATTTGTATATAAGTAAAAGTAAAGCACCCTAAATATTTTTTCATACATATACCCACATATATATATGTAAATAAGTAGCTGTTGACATAAAAATACTATATGTATCTGCCAGACTTGGCTCTATTTGACTTTTTTGTCTTTTCGAAACTGAAAAATTAACTTCTCGGAAGGCGTCATTAGTCCATTGACCATATATAAATAGTCAGACAAACTATTGGTAACTTTTTGATTTCATGACTCGTAATAAATTTGGCAATTATTTATATAAAATTATAAAACAGGAATATGATAGAAACAAGTTTTATTAAACAGTTGTAATAATTTCTGGATTGCAACGGATATCCTAAATTGCTTTTGTACGTTATTTCTAGGGAAACAGAATGTTGACCGGATGTAGAGTGTTTCTGCCAGTTGATCAGGTCAGAAATTAGAATAGAACTTATGGGTGTACTAAATGCAACTATCGACTGCTAAAATAATTTATTTTATTACACTATAACAACTAAATGACTTGTATTCATTACCTCTTTATGTACAAAAAAATAATGTGGAGCTGTTATATTGACAGCACAAATATTTCAGCCGGTTAGTATTTATTGCTTTTGCGTAATGTTATCACTGACAGTCTAATGTCTTTTATTTGTTAAGAACGCGGAAAGGTAAATTCAATTTGATAGCCTTGGATGTTGTTTATACAATACAATATTTCAACGAAAATAGTTTAGTTAAAACGGAATTTTATACGAATTAGTCAATTAGTGAGCGATATTTCTAGCAATACAACTTTCAGTATATACATACATATACATATGGATATGTCTTTTGACATAAAATTATTTATATTTGGCGGCTTCTTGTGATTTTCCTTTTCTTTTGTCAGTCTAAACTCTAAATTTAGTGGTAAATGTATAGTTTAGGTCCCCCAACTAAGGAGGCCTCAAAAATTAAAATTTTTTTTATTTTAGTCAGCGTGAAATAACAGACTTTTAGTATTTTTGTGTAAGGTTTGTTTTAAACATTTCCAAATATTATATGCATTTGTATGTCAAATTATTATAAATTTAAATAGTACTAATTTTCTATACTTTCCACTTTAGTCTTTGTTTGACGCATTCTCTTCGCACGACAACATGCAACCCTGTAGCAAAGCAAATTTCTAAAAGCAGAAAAAAATGTAAAGGCAGTAGTCAAAATTGGTTGCAAAGAAAAGGTTTGCTAGGTTTGTGTTTGGTAATTGTTTACGTGTGGTTATGGATAAATTTTCTGCGGTTAACGATTCTACTTTCGTTTATTATCGCATTATTTGCAGATAAGTTAGTCAGCATAAAAAATATCATAAATTATTGATGCGCTGGTTACCCGCTGTCATCATGTTGTTGGTGCTATTCTAAATTAAAGGGTATAAAATCGATTTTGTACGCAAGCAAAAGCGAATTGGTGTACTTTGTTTGGGAACAGTAAAGGTTCGACGAGTAGCTGCGTCGGAAGTCAATTGTGTGTGGAATTTGTGGTAATAATACCTCTTCGGAGCGATGGATAAAAGCGATCACATTTCGGTAACATTGTCCGGTGTCGGTGTGAACGACACGGAAGATGACAGCCTCGCTACGAAACAGCCCCAACGACGTAGCTTGCGACGAGTACGTATCCCCATATATGTATATAGATATATGCTAAATGTATTAACCAAAATTTCGCAACTGAACAAAGAGTGTATTGTTCTTTTTTTTGTTTTGCAGTCTTGGAATCAATTACCACGTTGCCAACGCAACCTTATCATTTTAGCCGTGCTGGCGTTATGCTTAACATTAGTCTTAGTTTTATATAATGACCAAATTGATGCAGAGAATAGCAGATTAATTGGCAATAACGGCGGCAGTTTCTTATATCGCGAAAATCGCGAGGTGGCAAACAGTGCCGGTTTAGTGCAGAATGGGCTTAGCGATAGTTTGAACGCGCTAGATGCGGAAAATCTTAATAAAAATCTGAATAACCCTTTGCCAGATATTGGACCACCACCGCTGTCATTCTCAAATGACAATGCGCCGGTATTTAAAGACGTGAGTATATTTACAATACAAGCAAATAAACATAAAATCAGTGGGCGTATGCAATGTCGACTGGTATCTGTAGGCCTCCACAAACCTTATCTTATCATAGAATGCCACGGCAAATAATACTTGTCGTCACAAGCCAATCAAATGGGTTTTAACAAATGTTGAATAAATACAAATATGCACACATGTTCACAAGTACATAACACACATACAAGTACATAAAAGATAGACAGGCATCGTTTCAAACATTCTTTATTTGATATGTGATAAAAGGAATTTTCGCATGCGGTAAATCGGAAGTAATAAAATATTTACACTTGATTTGTTAAGTCAATCGGATTCGATTTTTGTAAACACTGATCATGGTTATCATATTAAGTTTGCCACGAAGTTTGTAAGACCCACAAGGAAACGTCGTAGATTCTATATATAAATAATTAGCATGACTAGCTGATCATGTCCGTCTATCCGTATAAATGCTAACTGCGGGTTTTTTTAATGAAATCCTTTTCTCGCCAGAAAAACTGACGATCAAAATAGTTTTTATTTTACGAGATATCTCCACGAAATTTGGCACATATTATTGCCCTAGGCTACACGCTACAATATCAGAAGAAATATTTCCAATCGGACCACTATAGAATGGCACCTACAAACAACGTAAAAAATCAAGTTCTTGTAGGGAAACTTAACGTTTTTTCTGTTTTTTAAATGACTTTTGTGAGATACGGCAAGATATTGACAAGGTTTTGTACAATACTTCTGCAATCAAAAATTATTAAATATTTTTGACGTAACAATTGTTTGATTACCGGTCATCTATGCTTACTTATATAATCTGCAAGCATGTGCTGCTTATTAAACCAAACAAATCACGCCAAAGCAATTTTACTTTGCTTACTTTCACAAAATTTATAACAATATTTTACCATTTTATTATTTTCCAGATAAAGGTGCTCGACACGCCCAATCTCAATAAGAAAGGCGACGGTAATCTGCACCATGTCGAAAAAGGTCCGAAGGAAAGTTTATTACAAGGACCTTTAGTCGAATTTCCCAACAAAATAAGCATACAAGAAAACAATGATAATCGCATCGATGAACCTGCTGTCGAAGCACAATCTGGCGGTGGGGATGACAATGATCGTGCCGCCTTGGAAGCAGCGGTACTCAACCCACGGGTGGTGCCCGGAACCAATAACGTTTTAATTACAGATTATATCAATAATATGGATGCCAAGTTGGTAGCGCAAAAACAGCATTTCCATGGTGCAACCAATGAGCGGCAGACTGCTGTTGTAGCCGCTTTTAAGCATTCCTGGAATGGTTATAAAAAATACGCTTGGGGTCATGACAATCTAAAACCGTTATCGCAAAGTTCACACGATTGGTTCGGTTTGGGTTTGACCATAGTGGACTCATTGGACACAATGTACATAATGGGTTTGGAGGATGGTAAATCGAAAATTTTAACTTTTACATAAATAAATATTTTTTAAACGTTTTTCTTTTACAACAGAATTTACTGAAGGTCGCGAGTGGGTTAGCAATTTCTTGACATTTGATATCAATCGTGATGTAAATCTCTTCGAGGTGACAATACGTATATTGGGTGGTTTGCTGTCGGCTTATCACCTGAGTGGCGATAAAATGTTTCTGAGCAAGTCGGTGCGTTGTTTTTGTAATACACTTGAGGTTTAAATTTAACGATCTTTATATATGTGTTACTTTCTAAAAGATCGAATTGGGCAATCGTATGCTGCCATGTTTCCTCTCCCCCTCGGGCATACCATATTCGGATGTAAATCTGGCCTCAATGTCAGCGCATTCACCCAAATGGTCGCCGGACAGTTCAACTAGCGAGGTTACAACAATACAATTAGAATTTCGGGATCTCAGTCGTTCGACTAATATACCGATTTATGAAAAAGTAAGTTTTTGCGTTTTTCAAACTGTATAAGGTCCCAAATTTTTTTTTTGTTGGTAACAGGTAACGCATGCAGTTAATAAGAAAGTGCATGCTTTGGAGAAAACTAGCGGTCTCGTGCCAATATTTATCAACGCCAACACCGGCACATTCAGAAATTACGCCACAATCTCACTGGGCGCACGTGGTGACTCCTATTATGAGTATCTGCTAAAGCAGTGGCTACAGACCGGGCGGAAAACCGACGATTTGTAAGTATTTGTAATATCTGTGTACTAACTTTACATAAAACTTCACCTAATTCACTTTTCCACCTCTACACAGTCTAATTGTGGATTATATGCGCGCAATTGACGGTGTGCTTACGAAGCTGCTGCGTCGTACGCCCAAAGAGCAGCATGTCTACATTGGTGAATTGATAAATGGCAAAGATTTCAAACCAAAAATGGATCATCTCACTTGCTATTTGCCGGGCACACTGTTGTTGGGCCACAAATTCGGCATGCCCACCTCACATTTGTTGCTCGCACGTGATCTGCTCGAAACCTGCTATCAAACATATATGCGTCAGCCGACACAATTGGCGCCGGAAATATCCTACTTTGCGCTCACCACAAATGAAGAGCAGGAGATTTATGTGAAACCCAATGATGCGCATAATCTTTTGCGTCCCGAATTCGTAGAAAGCTTATATTATTTTTATGCCTTAACCGGCAATCGCACCTATCAGGATATGGGCTGGAATATATTCCAAGCATTCGAGAAGCACACCAAAGTGGCCTACGGTTACACGTCCATTGGCAATGTCAAGCATATATTCAATACAAGACTGCGTGATATGATGGAAAGCTTTTGGTTGGGTGAAACGCTTAAGTATTTCTATCTATTATTTAGCGATAATCGCAAGGAGATCGACTTAGATAAATGGGTAATCAATTCCGAGGCACATCTGGTGCCATTGCGAAATCATTAAGTTCGTGCTGTTGCTTGCATGTGGGTACGCGTGTGTGTGTATTTGTGTGAAACGTTTGTACATGACTATGACTATTTTAAAGCGAATCGAATTGAGTTGATACAACTCGCAATGTAAATATTTACAACAACAATTATTTATACAACTCTAGCATGCAATCCAATTTGTCGCATAACATGTATGCTTGTATGTCAACGATATTATTTATTACTATTTTTAAATTATTTATAAAATGAACTAACTTAAACAAATTTTAACGGTTAGCAAAGAGAATGCGCACGATCTCCGTTAGTTGTTAATTATGAAATAATTAACATTTAGAAGATTACCAAAAGAAAAGTGTTGGTCTTATTTAAGAACCAGATTGTCACAGACCGCAAAATATAAATCTACGCTCACCGCACTCGCCGTGAGAGAAAATTTTATGAGGTTTTTCTTAAACAATCACTTTGTAATGACACATAAAATCACAGTTTGATACGTTTCTACAAAAAAAAAATTTTTTCCTTACAAGCATACCTTGAGGCGTTCTGTAGATTGTTAATTTAATTTTTTTTTTTTAAGTATTAAACAATTTGTCTAATTTATTAGAAAAAATAAACGCAATTTGGAATTGCGTCCATATTTATGTATAACGGCTTCACTATCTCATGCGCAGAGTTAGCGTTACTTTTACCGTCTTGATATTGGAGTTTTAGCTTCAGTTCTGATTCCTTTTAGGTAACATCTGCGTACAAAAACTTGTTTGAATTTTTATTTCAAAGTAAAAAAGATCCAGTCTATACATACATATATCTTTATATGTAACGCATAAAAATAATTGTAAAAAGTGTACTATGCACGACTTGCACCAAAACTCAACGGATTAGAGATAATAAGATTTTAATCGTAGTTGCTGTAAAAAAAAAATGATATCAAATATTTAATTTCATAACATATAAATATGTAACTGTATTTCAATATATTGTAGTAAACAGTTATTTTTATTCCTATAATTAAAAACTTATGTATTTATGTATGTGCAGTATATTAAAATCCACGTGACTCGCACTGTAGACACTTTTTTTTAGACAACGCATGCGCGTATATTGTATATTCAAGCGGCACTAAGCTGAGATAAGTTTCATGTGTATTCGCCGTCTAACAAATCGCTCCCTACAACATGTGTTATATAATTTTAAATTAAAATAACAGTTTTATTTGCAGATTTTGAGTATTTTAAATTTGCTAGTTGCAAAAATATTCAAGTTGATAATATTTTTTTTCATAGAAAATTTTAAATTTTGCTACTTTTTTCACGTACTAGGTATTGGAGTTGATAAAAATAACAGTGAATTATACTGTAATTTAACACTAAAATTATTATTAATACATAAATAACCTGGTTGCATATATAAAAATTTTAATTAAAAATAATTTATAAATTTTTAAACACTAATACAGATTTGAAAAAAAATTTAATCCCAAAAAATATGGTAAAATTAGATTCACAATTTTTAACCAAAACTAACCGAATTTAAAATTGAAAATTTAGTTCTTAATTCAAGATGGTGGAATTACAAATTAGATTTTCAATTTTTAAATTAACAAATCCCAACCCTGAAAAAGACCAAAAATCTACAATTCACTATGCATGTAAATCTTATCTGGCTTAAATATATTAAAAAATAGTAAAGTAGCATGATCACCAACATGATCAACAATAAACAATTTTAATAAGTACAAAAACAAAAAAACAGTAAAATAGTAAAATAAAATTACAGTAGTAGACAACTTAAATATGTATTTGCTCAATTGTGCTATAGATGTATGTATGTATGTATGCGCAAGCATCAATTATAACGAATATACTAACTAAAGCAACTCATAAGCCAGAGAGGAATACATCTAAAATAAGTAAACCAGAAAAATGTGTGTATTTTAAATATTCAAAAAGCCTGCTTACTAGAGATAGAGCATTCTATTTCATCAAAAAATGTAAGCATTATATAAAAAAAGCAATTATTATTATTACGCTAAACACTTGAAAATCATTATTTCTTCGCACATATTTGGTTTTTAAGTGTTTTTCGCTTCATATTTAACTCAATAGCTCTTTAGCAGTGTGTTTTTAAGAAAGTAAAACTTGAAGTGAAACTGCCACATAACCTCAAGCATACCAGCAACTCCAGTAATACTTTTAATATGCTATGCATAAATTTGCTTTCTTTTATAAAATAAAATAAAAATAAAAAAATATGCAAAAGAAAACTACATAATCAGTAAAAATAACTTAAGCTAAGGCCAGGAGCTTAGTGGAATGGCGCATATTTTACAAAAAAAAAAAATATATTTAAATGAAAATAACGTTAACTTTATTAGAATCGCCGTCTCTGATTATGTCTTAACACTTATGCACACATACACAATTATTGTTGGAATTTAGTTGTACAACAGTCTAAATTATTTATTAATCAAATTATTTTTATTTTTATTTAAAATTGCAATTTTAATTTAAATTAAAAAACGTCTTTCAACTAAAAAGTTGTTAATTGTTATCTTAAAGCAGGCACAAATAACGGGTATATAGCAAGTATACATTTGTATATTTAATATTATGTGTTTTTGTGTTTATTTGACCATTTTTATTATTACCTACTCACAAATATAAAACAATAAAATTGTCTTATTGAAAATGGAAAAGTGTTTTTTATTTGATATATAGGTATATATATGTACACATAAAAATGAATAAGAATTGAGGTGAGAAAATTGGTAGTGTAGAACAAAAGCTTCATTATTACTGGCGGAACGGGTAAATTAAGAATAACTAATAAAAGGTTTTCTAAAAGCGCTCGTACTTTGGAAGGCACTGAGAAACCTCCTAGTGTATACGTATGTATATATATATAACTATAACTTTTAGAATAACAAACGGACGCAAAATTGGAAAAGAATGTATATTTGACCAAATACATTAAGTAGTTAAATACACACCCACCATAAAACCCAGTTCACTCTGCTTAAACGAATTATCCATCAAAATATTTGATAACAAAAAACAACGTTAATTTCGTCTGCACCGTAGCTATAACACCCTTCAGAGGTGCAATTTTATAGCATATAAGGATATAAAAATATTTTTTCTTGTTTTTGATCGAACAGTTTGAATTACAGCTATATGCTATTTTGTTCCGATCTGAACTATACGTCCGAAGATTGTAGCGATGCCTTTGGTAAAAAGATGCGCCAAATTTTGAATTGAAGTTACCTTGTCAAATAAAAAAGTTTTCCATACAAGGACTTCAATATGATCGGTTAGTTGTAGGGTAGCTATTTGTTATAGTGGTCAAAACTGAAAAATTACTTCGTCCAAAATTGGCAGTTTCGAAAAATGTTTGTAGAAAAAAGTACGTGTGAAAATTTGCAGATCAATATCCCAAAACCTAAAAAAACTAGTTAACGTATATACAGACAGACAGACGGGCATGGCTATATCAACTTAGCTCGTCCGTCACGCTGATCATTTATTTATAATTCTTTTGGCGTCTCCGACGTTTCCCTCTGGTTGTTATCCTGTTCAGCGTATGAAAATATTTCACAATCAAAAAATAGTCTTGCAAGCATTTATTCAAATAGTGCGCAGATTGTGTTTAGGAAATACTTCCGAGAGCATAGACCCTGCATACAAATCCGTACCCATTCCGGAACAAAGCCTTTAAAACTCTGTTTAATACCACATGAGTACTTACTTCTGAAATGCAAAGTTTGCGAAAGCTTTTCCTATTACATGGAAAATAAACGTGCAAATATATATTTTATAATTTATTAATTTTCTTTATTAAATATTTATGTCAACACCTGATAACAGTGTGTTTTCATGCTTTGTTTTTGTTGTTTCACTTTGTATTTTGCAAGTATGCGCCAGGTGGGTGAGTGTAGTGTTTGGGTAAGTGTGCACACTTTGCGCACTTCACGCCGCCGACTTGTGCGCACACTCACATGCAAACAAACAAACACGACTACTGCGCTTACTCGGCTGCTTTTAAACGTTTTCCTTTGTGTTTTTATATTTTTATTTCTTTAATACATATACATCTGTACATATGTATATTAAGTCCAACTTGCATTTTTATAATTTGCTTTATATTTAGATTTTTACTTATAATTTCCGACGATACTTTGACTAACTTAATATACCAATAGATAATATTAAACTTGCTTATTTGTTTCATTCTGATTTTTTGTTGTTGTTTTCGAGTTGTTTTTTTTTTATAAAATATTTGTGAGACTTTTTAAAATTTTACATACATACATACAATATATATATCATTATTATAAATTTATTAAATACATTATTTAGTTGTATTAACTTTAATTTTAGTAGTAATGTGTTGTGTAAACATTATTTATTATTATTATTTGTTTTTTATTTAAGATAATTAAGTTACTTTAATTTTTGTTTTGAATTAAAAAAAATTGTTGCATTCCTTTTTAATCGCGCCTCCGAGTTACACATACACATTCATCAGTAAATATTGACTTAAAAACTACTAAATACAATTACAATTAGTTACATTTGATGCGTATTTAAATTGAATGAAGTTACGTATCCTTTGTGTTTCGATACTTTTTGCTTTGTTTTGCTTATTTTTCTTTCTTTATTATTGAATTTTATTTATGTACCTCAGTTTAAGTTCAGTAGTTTCCTATTAACTAGAATTTGTTGTTGTCGCTATTTAGGTTTGCTCTCGCAATCTTTACTAACTTATATAAATATGTATGTATGTATGTATGTATGTATGTATGCATGTATATATATATATATATGTATGTACGTTTAGATAAATAACTTGTAGGTTCACACTGATAATTGGTTGCAGTTGCATGTGCTCATGTGCACACATACATACAGACATATATAGTTGTAAGGATCAGCTTTCGATTTTCATGATTTTTGCTGTTGAGGTTATATAACAGTTTGCTAGTTTGCAGTTTTGAAGAGATTTGAGGAAAATATATGTAACTTAGACCCTTTTAGGAACAATAAACCTAAAAAAAAATTATGCATTATAGAAAAAAAAAGTTAGATATTTTAAAGAGAAATTTTGAGGTTAGTTCTCTACAGAGTTTATGTGTTCAAATGAGATTATAGCGGCAGACAATAGAAAGCGGCAGTAAGAAGCTAAATTAGATAAATTAACGACATTTCTGATATAAGGTTATATTCTCATGAGTTTATACTAACTATCAACCTTTCTTTTTGTCAAGTTAGGTTCAAGCGTAAATTTGTTGCCGATCCACCATCCGCGTTGACATAGTTAATGGCTACTTTGACAATTTGCGAATGTTGCTTAACATTGTAATAAAATAAAGTCAAATAGCTTTTATAACTTTTCGAACCAAACTTCGAAGTTTGAATTTAACAAAATAGAGTTAAGACTGAAAGCTAAAGCTATGAGCTTAAAATCTGCAACATTAGCAGTACAATGTTGCTTAAAATTTGGATTGAAATGAAGTTGTGAATCTAACCTCAAAGTTTGCATTTGAAAAATAGATTTAAAACTAAGGATCTGCAACATTAGTAGTACAATGGTACTGAATATAATAAGTACGGTACGATAAGTACTACTAACGAAACTACTTAGAATTTATATAAACCATAATGTTATCACCCAAAAGTCTATGAAGAATATTGGTATTTTCGAATTTTTGCGTATTTGAATTTTTGGATATCTGAACTAAAAAACACTTGTTAGCCAAAACTATATTCTCTTTAGTCAGACATAACCTCAATTACCGATGCGCATATATGTTATTTATATGCTATAGGTGTGTGGGCCCATAAATACATGCAACAATCGCCAATACTGGCGCTGTCTTGTATCTCTTTTATAGATAATAGTTTTTGTTTTCTTTTTTTTTGTTTTTGTTTTCATTAAAATTGTTTTAAGTGTTTATTTTTCAGTTTCTGGATTTGATAATAGTTCTTTTTAATACACATACAAACACTGATTGTTATCATACATTTTAAAAAGGAAATTTTTCTCACATCTAGATTTTGTTTGTTGCTATCTTACAATTTTCACTAACAATTTCAATTAGTTATGTACAAAAACAAAAAACAAAAAAATCAAATAAAAAGAAATGACGAAGCGAGCACATGTTCGCCATTGATAACTGTTTTTAAATTACTGTAATCAATTACAATACTTTTTATGTGATAGTTATGCTTAAGGTTTTCATTTTGTAAACGCATAGTTGTATTGCAAAGTTTTGAACATTTTTTTTAACAAAGTTGGCAACGTATTTCTTTCTTAGCTTTGTACAAGCGCAACTGCCATTGTACATAAGAATGCATGCAGCGATTGCTTTACAATTTGGTTTTGTTTCTTAATGCAATTTTCCAGTTTCAATTTCTCTTTACTTGCTAAGCTCTACAAACGTTTTTATTTTATCCATTTAATTGAAACTTTTTTTTGTTTTTTAATATTATTATTTGTTTTACGAAAGCCACATACATTTTTAAACATAATTGCGTAGTTTACAACCAATTCGTTTGCCACGCCCACTTATTGTGGACATTTTAGCGGCGATTGTGATGTTTTTGTTTTTTTTTTGTCATTTTAATTTTAAAGTACATAATTACATACATAATTGTTAAATTTGTAATATCTTTTATTTTAAATAAAATTTAGCTAATTATTTTTGTTGCTTTAAAGCATTGTTAAGACAATTTATTGATTTAAAGAATTCAGTTGCACGAGTTCGTTCGTTCGTTTGTTGTCGGTTTGTAGTCTAAACGCTCGTTTAAAAAGTGACTTGCTGATAGACACACATCTACAGCCTTCCTAAAAGCGTTTAGCGTTTGGAGCTTGTGTTGAAAGACAACAATTTTCGAGCTTCGTGCAGCGCACGCTATATATGTATGTGTGTTTGTGGGTGGCTCCCCCCTCACATATTTCTATTAAGCTTTCAGTACTGTCTGCTGAACGGCAGAAACTTTGTCCTTTTAAACGGTGCCTGTTTTGGCAATATTTTTTCGATTTGAAATTAAGCTTTTATTGCTTCTCCATTTGGGTTGTATAAAATTTGTGCAATTTCACTCTATTCACATGGCGCTTGTCATTCAGTTTAATTTATTGCTTTTTAGAACTATCTCATTAGTGCTTAAGTTCTTCGTTTATTAAATATTATTTAGGTTATGGAACACAATTTTATAATTAATTTAAAAATAATTTTTTTGAAAATTAAAAGTGCATATTACATAAAAACATAAACTGGCAAACATACAAACATAAATACTTTTGTATGTACATACATATATTCGGAAAGTATAAATTTTAACAA